ACATCTATATTCCAGTACTCAATTACTCCATCTGAGAAAATGGCATTGATATCATTTTTCCTCTGGTCTCCCAAATTCTTGACAACTTACAAATGCTCACATATTGGTCTCCCATCTTTCCTCTGGCCCACATAAATAGTATATTTTCTATTGCATTTGCTGACTTAATTGCTCTAGGTGGCCTGATAACATTTCCTGTTCTTCATATCTAAATGACAATATATATTTCCCACTGTATTGCATACAATTAAAGATAAAGAAATTAGCTGTTAATTAAATTTTTGTGTGACTTATTTTGACAGTTGGTTCTAGCATGCTACCTGGAAAGGATAGATCTCTCTGCTCATGGATTTTATATCACTCCTGATGTTGGGTTTGACTGGGTGTCTGGCAAGGGAACTCCATTCTACTATTTCACATACGGAGCAGCATTTGCAGAAGTTGAAATTGATACCCTAACTGGGGATTTCCACACAAGGACAGTAGATATTGTTATGGATCTTGGCTGTTCAATTAATCCGGCTATTGATATTGGCCAGGTATGATGGAAATGTTTGGCTGCCCAGAATAAGATGGACCTGTTTCTCCCATTTATTTACTTCTTCCTGTCTTCTTTAACTTCAATGGCTTGTTTCAGATTGAAGGAGGTTTTATCCAAGGATTAGGTTGGGCGGCCCTGGAAGAACTAAAATGGGGGGATGATAACCACAAGTGGATTCGACCTGGACATCTTTTCACTTGTGGGCCTGGCTCTTACAAAATACCCTCTGTAAATGATATACCTCTAAACTTCAAGGTCTCACTTTTGAAGGTAAACTTCATTTTTACTTGGAAAACAGGACTTTCTTGAATTTAATTCAGATTAGTAAAATGTGTTTATGACATTTTTTACATTATAACTGAGTTTCTCTGCAAGGTTACAAAGGTAGTTAAAATAAGGTATGCAATCTTGTATTAGTAATTCTAAAACATCAGCGGTACAAGTTTCAGAAAAAGTTCTGCTGCAGGTGGTATAACTTTACCAGTGAACTACCGAGAAATCCAATTTGAGACTAAACTATATTGTCCATCCCCAATTCAAACATTTCTTTTAATTCTGTTAACTTGTTAAGTTATACCACTCCACTGCTTGGTCATTGCATTTGGCTCCTGCCTGCTCAGAATTCAGATGTAGTTTTGCACTGAAATATGCTGGAGAACGATATCAGTGTAACATGTAAATAGCACCAGAAAGGAACTAATAGTGTTTGTTAAATAAGCAAAATTAAAAATTTGCGAAAGTTAAAAGAGTATAGATGTTCTCCGCAGTGTTTACTTGTTACATAATTTTGAAGTAAATAGCCAATATTATTTTGAAGCAAGTACATCTAAATACTTATTATGCATGAAAACCTCAATGTGGAATTTCCTCATTTGCTTGAATAAAAAAAGTAACTGGAGGGTCATCTAAAAATTAATTTACCAGAAACGCTCCTGAATTGTTTCAATGACATTTATCTATCCTACATCTCGATTCACAGTTGTTTTTTCTTTTCGTTACAGGGCGTTTTGAATCCAAAGGTCATTCACTCATCCAAGGCTGTAGGAGAGCCACCGTTTTTCCTCGGTTCAGCCGTCTTGTTTGCCATAAAGGATGCGATATCTGCCGCAAGAGCTGAGGAGGGTCACTTCGACTGGTTCCCACTCGACAGCCCAGCAACACCGGAAAGAATAAGAATGGCATGCGTGGATTCCATCACAAAGAAATTTGCTAGCGTATATTACCGTCCCAAGCTTAGTGTATAGTGGCTACTGCCAAAGTACAAGGGTCATTAAAGGTTTATGCTTGTCGTACGTATATTTGTACAGTCCCAAGCTACTGTGTAAACATAAATATAGGCGACAGTTTAGGGGATAAAAAGTTACCTTTTCCTCTTCTTTTTTACCCCCCAGGAAGAAAACACTAGAAATAAAAGCAATGTTCACATCGACTTGCTGTCTAGCTGTGTACTGGAATAGAAGTGCAGGGCTCAGCCCAATGGCGTGTTCTCAGATGCTGTCTACTCCCTGTGTTTAAAACTATATAGTAATTTTCAGGGTTCAAAATTTATATTGAAATATAACAACTTCTCAACCTATTCGGTTACTCTATCGTTTCAATCAATTATAACTATATCTTGTTTCAATTCTCTACTTATTTCCTAATTCTAATTCTCTTCTTAATTCATCCATGTAAGAAATTTCTTGCGTGAAGTGCCATCTAAAGGCATTATGGGCTTGGTGATATCTAACCATGGTGCTATAAAGATAATGCTATATCAGTTAGTGTATGGGATGTTTTACCCATTAAGGTGAATCTGGTGCTCTTAGATTGGAAAACAAAAGGCTTGTTTGATTTACTACCCTAACAATTCATTCGTAGTGTTAAAATTTATGTAAATTTTGGTACTACCACTTCTAATAGGGTAGAGTTTATATCATATATTTTTGGTATGCTATCAATATAATTGCTATAGTGAAGGAAGTTCTGAAGTGTTGCCAAATTTTGTATGGGCATTACAAATGCTTTAGGTCTAATCCAAATCAATCACACTACTATTTAAGTTGCCAAATAATTGGTAGGGCATATTTTGTCATCAATCCGAAAATTGTCCAAAATGACATATCTCGTCTCGTCAACCGTAGATAGTGATGACCAAAATAACTTATCTTGTCAACCATATATCCCAATATATAGGAACATATTACTACGGATTTGAACATGTGTCTAATATAGTATTATGTCTAATATAGTATTAAGTTGCATTCGTTTGCAGTTGATTGAGAGAAGAAATCCCTCATTCTCCACACGCACGCTTCCTGAATTACTAAACAGTACGTATTTTGCAAAAAAAAAAGTTGCTTTAAAAATTATATTAATTTATTTTTCAAATCTAAAATAATCAATAATCAATTAATCATACCATAATGGTTCACCTTATTTTGTATATTTTCTCAATTTTCTTATTTCCTCTCCTCTCAAACACATCTTTAGAATTCTATATTTTGAGACAAAGGGAGTATATGACCTCCGAAAGATAGGCCAGAAAAAATAACATGTCAGCCATAAATTATTATAATTTAATAACGAATTATATTGATGACAAATGGAAGATTGGAAAATCGGGTTTGCTAAAAATATGGAGCCACATTTTTCACTTACTTTCAATCAATTTTTTCTATATGATTGCTCTCTCTCCTATATAAAAATAAAATATGATTCTCTTATTCTTTTTCCCTATAGATGATCGCTAAAAATATGCTTCTATCTCCCCCTCTTCCAAGTAGATAATAAATTACTTTAATCTTAATTCTAAAAAAATACAATCTATATATCAAAACTTATAAGATAACTACAGTGTACAGTGTAATTATAATGTAACTGTAAGTGTAAAAATAATGAGTGCTTTTTTTTTTAAAAAAAAGATACTACGCCATAAATATAGCTATTCCCAACGTTCATTTGTTTGACACCAACAATTCTGTTTTCGAGGCATGCCTTTTACGATTGAATGAAAACGTTCATATGTGTTCTTGCAATATCAGGGTTACAATTATGGCAAGTGGTGAATGATCTTTGTCATGAATTATTTGAAGTTTTATGGAGATTCAAATTTGTTTAAGAATATAAGGTCATCCCATCTATTTGCTTATCTCGCAATTTAAATACTTCAAACCAGCTGGGATTAGCGGCTCGAAATGGCTTTTGCCCTGGCGTGGCCCTCGCTGGGTGCCGACACGTCATCCGGCGCTGGATTTTGGCTGGGTTTCGAGTCATGTGGTTGCTTGGTTCATACACCGTTCGATCATCATCGTGTGGCTCTGGCAATCATCGATACGGGCACCGCAATGGACCAATGGCAGACAGACTCAGCAAGGCCCACCTTGGCAGGCGGATGGTTGACGAAAGAGCACGCAAGCAGGCGACAAAAAACACAAGCAGCTAATACTAAGTTGTTGCTTTGTTTTTGGGTGGGCGTGGTGTATGGCTCTCTCTCGCTGTTGCCGTGTACAGCCAGCCAGTGTTTGATGCACACAGTGGTAGAATATGTCTATGCCGTTCCCTTGTCCTTGTGTGACAGCTTTTTTTTTGTTTATGGGTGGATTTTAATGGGTGCTTCGAAGACCACGTCTTTAGTGGGAGCACTGTGCGCCCACTCCACTACTGCAAGAGTATGCAAGATGCTATTGGCTGGATTACTCCTGGTCTCCTCGGTCATATTGTTCCTATATGGTGGACATTGCCTATACATCCTTCATCTCTGTATTGTGGGCCCGAGCTGTGTTCTACTCCATTGGTGTTGGTCTAGGGATGATATATGCTACAGTGTATGTTATCGATTTTATTCGGTGCTACAGTTGAGTAGACACAGCTGTTTGGCTGATTAGTGGGCCAGTCTGCCATTGGACGCTTAGGTGCTTGTTGCTTATTGGTGGGTGTAAATTTGTAGGGTCTGAATTAATTTTTTTCCCCTTGCTCCACAGCACTACAAAATTGTTGCTTTGCTTTTCATTTTTTTTCCTTCCCTTTCGCTTTTCCAGCCTCATCAGTTTCTTCACATTTGCTATTCTCCGTTTATTTCCTGCCAAAGCTCTATCCATTTTGCCTCTACTCAATCGTCCATCCATCATGGCAAGGTAAAAGTTGGTTCAATGTGTATTCTTTCATTCTTGCACATATGCATCACCAAAAGTTTTTCTAAATTCCATCCAAAAAAACTAATCTTGGGAATCCTAAATGAAATTTAATGTGTAAAATTTTTTATTCCTCCAAGAGATTAGGTAAAATTAAATCCCTAAAACCAAAAAGTGAGTCCGATGTAAAGCTACCAAAAGAAATCAACTTATTTGTCCTGCTGCGTGCCGACGATGTTGTTGACGTGTAGAGGTCCATGAGAGTGAGACCATGGGTGACTTAATTCTCTCTGAGCAAGAAAAAAAATGATACAGTACCAATACTTTGATATATGTCCAACGCATAGGAGGTTCCAAGCTAGCATAACCACACAAACAGGTCAACCCCTTCTCAGTTCTCACCCTGCTAGGCTGCTAGACCCTCTCTTCCTCATCATTCCTACCAGATAAACAGAGAAAGAAAAGGTCTCATAGCATAGGAACCAACGAGGCAGGACGGCAGGAGGCCTGTTCGCTTGAGGTGTCTAGCCTGGAGTGCTTGCCACTAGGAGTGAGGCAGCGAAGGGGACATGGTTGCTGGCGGCGGAGTCAATTTGATGGTGACGACTGTATGCGGTGGGTCTCGACCAGTAGCGACGGGAAAGAAGGCGTGTTCCCCGGCCGACGGCGAGGAGGCGCCGTCCCCTCGGCGGCGGGGTGAAGGCCTGCAGATGAAGGTAGTAGCAGCCCAGGCGGCGGTGAAAATCAAGAGACGAGGCGGAGGAGGCTAGCGTGACGTTAGGGAAAAAGGCGGGTCCAGATCGGCGCAGGCCCAGTGGACATGGAAGAGAGGGCCGACGAGATGAGGCTCCATGCTAGTAGTGGAGACCTGGACGGAGGGCGCTCGATCTGACCAGATCGAGTCAGCGGCGGTGGTTGGAGACGCCTTGATGTAGCCACGCGAAAAAGATGATTTTTCGCTCCTCGTAGGCTGAGAAGACGCGGGAGCGTAGGATTGGGAATGGGAGAGGAGCCCTCACTCAGCCTCAGTATTGAGAGCGAATATTACGGGATAGAAACTCCACAAGTTTAGCATCCGAGTAGGAAATCTATTGGAGCATATTTTTTTTAAAGTAAAATCCTCAAAAATTAAGATTCATTGCTGCTCTTCCTTTCGATGGTGTTCAATCTTGATTGCTTATTGATTTGCTTTGATCTTTCCTATTTTGTTAGGGGAGAAGATCTGCATGGGTTGCATCGGAGCTTCAAAGGTTCTTAATTACTTTTAGTCAGACGTGCAAGAGCTGCTGGAAATACTTGGCAGGTAATTTCAGTTCATCCTTCTGTTCAGTCTGGCATTTCTTTGAGGAGTTCTTCTACTGTTACGCGTTAGATTTAAACTTGTTAGTGTCTAACCATGATGTTTGTACCATGCAGCTCTGGTTGTTTATTCGCTCAAGATAGTGTTGGTTCTCTTTCCTTGCTGCGAAGCTTGCTGTTTCAGTCTATTGTTTAATTAGGGGTTGATATTGCTCTGGTTTCCCTGCCTTTTCCCCTTCCTGTCAGTTCGGTCTGCCTTTGTGCTGAAGGTATTTTCTTCTTCTTTATTGTTATGCATTACTATATTTCTCTAGTAGTTTAATTCTTTGCATGATATTATATGGTATATGTGTGCCCCTGTAAGTGTAAGTTTATGTGTGTGCAACTGCAGTTCCTCCCTAGCTTTGTCATTTTTTTTATATAATTAGATGGTTCTATGCTGTGTGCATATAGTGAAAGTGTTCTTCCCCCTATAGTTTTGGGTATTAGTAGCAAAAGAGAGACGCTACAAGTTACAATTGTCACAATTGTTATAACGACCAATTTGTTCCTTTTACTATCTGTTAAGTCGATGGGTGTACATAGCTTTCTTCTCGACTTTATCTTGCGATGATAGTATGTCGCCTTCTTATATATACATACTTCTTACCTTCTCCTCAGTATTTCATCATTAGATATATGGTCAAAGCTTATGTTTCCAACTTTCCATGGCCATCTTTCTTCCTTTGTAGTTAGCCATAGATGTCTCTCATGTTTCCCTACTGAATATTGCTGTACGATAGCTGATGCTTCTGACCCCTTCTTTTCTTTGGGAATTTCATTATGATGATAGGTTGCTTGCAGCCATAGAACTACTTGTTCCATCCATTGTTGTCCAAGTTGAGTTGTAGCCATTATTTTTTTCGGTGAAACGACAGATCTCATTGAAACTACGCACGAGCCTGTAGCTACTGACTATATGATTTTGTAGTGCACGATTATAGTTTTCAGTCAATGGTAGTGCACAGAAAGTTAGGATGATATGCCCTTTAATTTGCTTTTAGGTTGTATTTGACGGTTTAAATCATGCCGATCATACAGACAATCACTTTCTAACGATATCACTTGCGCATGTTGTTCAATATAGTTAGTTATTTTATTGACAATAGTAAGCTCGGATTCATATCATCGTAGTTTTTTTATTGTTCCTATGTGTGCGTACTTTAAATCCATATAGGCCCTTCTGCAAGACTGCAGCTATGCTTAACTTAATATCATGTAATATGGAATAACGGACCATGTGTTGTTTTATCTCTTGATTTAAGTTGGGGCCTGTAATTTTTTTCCCTCAATTCCTTCGATCTGTATGCGTGAAATGTTTTCACAGATGAATGAAGAAAGTATCAATAGAGTACGCAGAGTTCGTGCTAGCCGGCAAAGACGAGTTGCAAATATTCTTTCTCGGCAACCTGCGATGCATATAGAACATGCTATAATCATACCAAATCAAGCGAGTGAACAAAGTGACCGTAAGAGATCACTCATGGATTTTGCACCTGAATTGACTAAATTAAATAGACAAAGGCGTTGCTTCTTGCGTTCAAAAATACCTCCGTCGCCTACTGAAGGCCGTAGACATGGTATGCTATTTCAATTTTCTTAGATGTGGACCGTATTATTCTTCGTATCTGGGTTCATCATTTCCCCTATTTTTGTACACTGCAGCTATCAACACTAAGAGCATCGGTAGTTCATCACGGGCCGATAAAGAATATATTCAATCACTAAAGGGTTTACACACTATACTAAATACAAACTATACTATTTTTGTTCCGAAAAAAAACTTTCTGACATTCTTCAATACACGCATTGCAGCATTGTACCCAGACAGATCATACTACGGTCCTCCAACATATGAATGCCCATATTGTGGTGCCATGTTTTGGTACCAAGAAAGAGTCAAAAGCACTTCTGCTATCACAAAAAGAAAAATAGTTTACAATCTATGTTGCAAAGGTGGTCAAATACAATTACCTAAGTTACGTCCTCCTGAACCACTTGCAACATTATTAAACTTGCAACATTATTAAACTTTAATGGTGATGCACGATCAAAAATATTTTTGAGACAAATACGATCATATAACTCAATGTTTGCTTTCACTTCAATGGGTGCTATTGTTGACAAATCGATTAATACTGGGAATGCACCTTATGTTTTCAAGATCAATGAAGTTGTGCACCACCGAATTGGTACTCTTGTGCCATCTCGTGGTTCACCTCCAAAATTCGCTCAATTATACATCTATGATGCAGAAAATGAAATACAAAACAGGCTAAATATATTTGAAAATGATGGTGATAATGTAGATAAAGCAGATCCTGAAATACTTGCTGCCCTGTCATCGATGTTTGATGCTGAGAATGCCCTTGTCCAAAACTTTAGATATGCTAAAGAACGTCTTTCTGAACATGGTGATCAGCAAATAACCCTTCGCCTTTTAGGCTGCAACGCAAAAGACGATGTTCAGTATAACCTACCAACAAGTGGTGAAATTGCTGGAATAATAGTGGGTGAATTTTCTGCAAAAGAATACAAATTTGATGTGCTTGTGTATGATAAAAACCATGGACTGCACCAGATTTCTCCATTGCACCCATCTTATATGGCCTTGCAGTACCCTTTGTTATTCCCATATGGTGAACGCGGATTCCATCTTGGCATTAAATATAATAATTATGACGGAGTTGGAAGAAAATATGTCACAATGCCAGAATATTATAGATATATGATGCACTATAGACTAAATGAACCAAATCCTTTGACATGTTATGGTCGATTAAGTGATCAAATTGATGTTGATATATTTTCTACAATTGAAGCTAATAGATTACAATTTTTCATTGACCATCGAAAAGAGTTACGTGGTGAGTCTGTAGATGGGATCGTAGATGCGATTGATAAAGGTGTCACTGATGGTGATTCAATTGGAAAGCGTGTCATACTTCCTGCCAGTTTCATTGGAGGGAGAAGGTATATGGTGATGAACTATCAAGATGCAATGGCAATATGCCATGTTTATGGATCACCTGACCTCTTTGTGACATATACATGTAATTCAAAATGGCAAGATATTGCTGAAGCGATTCGATTTGAGCCTGGTCAACAACCATCTGATAGAGCCGATATCATTGTTCGTGTATTTAATATGAAGGTTAATGAATTCATAACTGATATTAGAGAGGGCAGAACTTTTGGTAAAGTTCTTGCAGGTATTCTTATACCCTCTTGGTCCATAGAATATATTGAATTAAGGATAGCACACTCATAGTATTCTCTCTTAAATTATTACAGTCCTCTACACTGTTGAGTTCTAGAAACGTGGGCTTCCGCACATACATTGCTTGGTTTGGCTCGCAGCTCCCACTACTGACGTGTCAGCATCTATCATAGATGGCTTCATTTGTACTGAAATACCCGATTATGACACTGATCGACTAGGATATGAATTGGTTAGCGAGTTCATGATGCATGGTCCCTGTGGTGATGCAAACAAAAGTTGTCCTTGCATGAAAAACGATAAATGCTCAAAAAACTACCCTAAAGATTTTCAAGATGAAACCATTATTGATGAAGCTGCTTTTACAATTTATAGACAGAGAAATGATGGACGATGTATTATAAAAAATGGAATTCCCTTGGATAATAGATCTGTTGTCCCCTATAACATGAAATTGCTTAAAAAATACGAGGCACACATAAATGTTGAGTGGTGTAACAAATCAAATTTGATAAAATATTTATTTAAATATATCACGAAAGGCCAAGACCGAGCTAAAATCTACTTCGAAACAACAGCTAAGACAACAAATGCATCACCGAATCATGACCTTGCTCCACGTGATGAAATATTAGAATACATGGATGCAAGATTTCTTTCGACCTGTGAGGCACTTCATCGATTGTTTGAATTTGATATACACTATAGAGTACCTCTTGTTGAACGATTGGTTGTCCACTTACCTGGGAAAAACTATGTTAGATATGAGAAAGGATCGGACTTACGAGCAGTGCTTGAAAGTCCTGCTGCGAAGCGTTCAATGTTAACTGAATGGTTTGAAGCTAACAAAAAATATTCTAAAGCCCATTCATTAACATACTGTGAATTTCCGAAAGAGTGGTCATGGGAGTCATCATCTAGAGTATGGCGCCAGCGAACACCTGCTGCAAAAATTGGTAGAATATATTATGTGCATCCAACTGCTGGTGAACTTTACTACCTACGCATGTTGTTAATGATTGTTAAAGGCGCTCAAAGTTATGTTGATGTGCGTACATTTAATAATATTGTCTATGCCACATTTAGAGAAGCATGTGAGGCACGAGGGCTCCTTGAGGGGGACAATGAATGGTATCTACTTTTCGATGAAGCAATAGTCTCTGCATCTTCACAGCAGCTTAGACAACTTTTTGTGACTATACTTCTTTACTGCTCTGTTAATGATGTGCGATCATTGTTTGACAAGTATTGGTTATATATGACAGATGATATACATAGCAAACTAAAAAAAGCATTGGATAACCCGAATTGTATCATTCCACCTGACCATTTGCTTAATCTTCTTCTCCACGAACTTGCTAATGTGTTTGCGAATAGTGGTGGTAATATAAAGGATTTTAACCTGCCACATCCATCGTCTGTACCACATATTCCTGGTAATAATAGATTGATTGAAGAAGAATTTGCACTTGATCCACTTATGTTAAGCATGCATGCAAATTCTTTGATACACCAATTGAACAATGATCAAAAAAAACATTTTCGACATCATAACTTCTCGTGTTGCTGCGAATCAACCTGGTTTTTTCTTTGTGTGTGGCCATGGTGGAACTGGAAAAACATTCCTGTGGAATGCTATTATTGCAAAACTTAGATCACATAATAAAATTGTTCTTGCCGTCGCTTCATCGGGCGTAGCGTCACTGCTATTACCTAGAGACAGAACAGCTCATTCTCGATTTAAAATACCAATTGACATTGATGAAACAAGTATTTGCAATGTAAAACGAGGAACTATGCTTGCTGAGCTTTTAATTGAGATTGCATTAATCATATGGGATGAAGCTCTAATGACACATAGGCGATGCTTTGAAGCACTAGACCGCACATTACGTGATATACTTTCTGAGACATGCCCTTTGAATTCTATTATACCTTTTGGAGGAAAACCTGTTGTCCTGGGTGGTGACTTCAGACAAATATTGCCAGTTGTTCCTAAAGGCTCCCGTAGTGCTATAATCAATGCATCGGTCACAAACTCAGACTTATGGAAACATGTGACAATATTAACTATGAATATAAACATGAGATTACTTAATCCAATGCTACCTGAAAATGAAAAAAAGGACATGGATGATTTTAGCCAGTGGGTTTTCGCTGTTGGTGATGGAACTTTACCTATGATAGCAAAGGAAGGTGAAAGCTATCCTACATGGATCACAATTCCTGATGATTTACTCATCATAACTGATGGTGATAAATAAATGCCATTGTCAGCGAAGTATACCCTGATTTCCTTGCATCATACAAAAATCCTGAATACCTAGCTTCACGTGCAATTGTTTGCCCTAATAATACAACAGTTGATGAAATAAATAACTATATTATTGGTTTGCTTCCTGGAGATGCAAAAATATACTCAAGTTGTGATACAATATCAAAATGCTCTGAACAAATACCAGATTTTGACTTGCTATATCCACCTGAGTTTCTTAACTCAATAGACGCCACTAACTTTCCTACACATAGACTTATTCTTAAAGAAGCTGTTGTGGTCATGCTACTTCAAAATCTGAATCAATCAATTGGGCTATGTAATTCTTCAATGTATCATACTTACTGGATCAAACATCGGTGAAACTGTTTACATACCTCGGATAACACTGAGTACTACCAAAATGAAATGGCCTTTTACATTACAAAGAAGACAATTCCCTGTTCGTGTTTGTTATTCAATGACTATCAATAAAAGCCAAGGTCAAACACTTCAACGAGTAGGTGTATTTATCAGAAAACCTGTTTTCACACATGGGCAATTGTACGTTGCTATTTCAAGAGCAACAAGCCGATCAGGTTTAAAAATATTAATTGAGAATGACGATGGATCATGTGGTACACAAACAAGAAATATTGTTTACACCGAAGTGTTTAGCGCTACATTGCCAGCGGTGCTTTTCAACACACTGTTCCATATATCATGTTTATGTGTTCTCTTAAATTATCAATAATAATTGAAATACCTTTCTGTTGCAGGCTTTGCCGCTCCATGCTTAACCTCTTTTACCCTAAAAAAGAAGCAATTTTGTACATATATTTTGGAATAAATATACCTCCTTCACATGTACCATATACTATATACATAGTATATGATTTGTCCGCTGCAGTTATATGTACTGTTCTTCTTAGTAACATTTTCTTGTACATATATAGTAGTGTTGTTTCGTCTATACTAAAAGTATTTTGTGCTTATTGCAGATTCCATATGGCGCATGTACTGATTTCACAGCTATCGTTTGGAGATTCAAACAAAAGAATCCTTGCAAGGGTCTCCAGGCTATGGAACTTTACTGATCTCAACAATCATACAAAAATTTTCCACACTGATCTTGTCTTACTCGATGAAATGGTAATAATTTATGTGCCAAATCCATTTTCTATATTTGCCTTACTATATCAATAATTCTCTTGATAACATGATTTGTATTTATAATCTGTAGGGGACTAGCATACATGCCCAAATTTACCCCCCTATAACAGAAAAGATGAAACCTCTCCTTAAGGAAGAAAAGGTTTACTACATTGACTCATTCACTGTTAGGGCTGCAAACAGAACATACAGGCCAGTTGCAAACAACCTAATGATCCTCTTCAGTAAATGGACAACACTTGAAGAACACATTAATGTCCCTCCTCATTTCCCTGGTATTACATTTTCACTGACACCATTCGAAGATGTTCCTTCCCTTGTCGAGAAAAATTCATTCTACGTTGGTAATAACATACTTTTATTGTGTTACAATTATTGTTATATACATCTTCTGCAATGCCATATCATTTTATTAAACTTATATGCCATATCACTGAAGTTGGTGCAGTCACTACTATACGTCCTAAGTCCAGAAACGCTGAGAGCTTAAAAAGGACATTACAGATCCGCGATGCAAGGTTAGTTTAGTACAACTAAATATTTACATGTTCATTATTTACTTAATCTTTTTCGCTAGCATTCACACAAACTATCTCACATATTCTTAACACTAAGTCATCTCTTCCAATTACAATTAAATCACTTTTTCCCCTCCAAATCTACAAAACTAGCAATTCAACTCTTCCTGTCACACTCTGGGGAGAAAGAGCAACCTCTTTTGATGCTAATGACATATACAATGCTGGTCAAACTCAAGCTCAAGTTGTTGTGTTTGTTGGAACACTTGTGAAAGATTACAGAGGATTAGGTACATTTCTTTCTAAACTTTCAATTACTGTAGTATTGACTACATGCAACTAACAATATCTAATAATTTCCTCCACATATATAGGCCTTACACTAACTGGAAGCTCACCATGCAAATGGTATATTAATCTAAATATTCCTGAAGTAGCAGAACTAAATGAGAGGTAATTTAATTTATTTAACGTTATTCTTACAATCTATGTGCACCACTGTATTCTTCAAGGTTTTCGCAGTATCCATTAATCTAAGATACAATTCTTCTATGTAGCTTTAGCACAAACTTTCAGCCAATCAAGTGGGTTGATGAGCCTGCTACAGGATACAACCAGGATGTACCAGAAGAAAAGAGTATTGCAGAAATCCTTAATATCAACCCTCACAAACACAAGGTTGACACTATCTCCAGAACACATCTTAACTACATCTATCCACTTTTTGATGATAAAATTACCAATATGATATTTTCATTGTCTTCTTATGCAGGGAACATGTTTTATAGTAAATGTGACTGTCAGAAGGATATGTAATGAATATTCTTGGTGGTACAATTCATGTTGAATGTGCTACAAAACTTCAAAACCATATGGCTCTAGCTACAGATGCTCCAGCTATTCTAACATCGGAATACCAGATCCAAGGTTCATAACAGAACACGCTCTGTCCTCTTACATCTTTAGCAATTATCATCCACACATTGCTATAGCCATATCCATTTTTCATGCAGGTACAAAGTAGTATTAATTTCCGGCGATGATGATGCTAATGCTACATTTATCCTTTTCGGAAGGATCGCACAACGGCTACTACGCAGGCCCATAGAATCTCTCATTGAAGAAAATCCACCAAACAGTGAATACATTCCAAGTGAAATCACGTCACTTATTGGCAGCAATTTTCCATGGAATGTTAGCTTTACACGGGATACTGTTATGAGAAGTCAAGAGTGCCTACAAGTTAATAGCATTATATCCGCTGGTGCTTCAAACCAACCACTACTCCTTATGTCCCCAGATGCTTCACAAGTGACATCAGCTATTGTCTCAGCAAGCTCAAGCAGCTCTGTCCAAACAGCACCAACACCAAATGAAACAAGCAATGAATCACAGCAGCCCATTCAACCAAGACAAACCATCTCAACACCAACCAAGTTCACTATCGCTCAGGGAACACAGGACACCCCAACTAGCAAATCAAGTTCTTCAACACCTACCAAGAAAAGCATTGTCTCAGTGTCTCACATGCAGTCTAGCAAGACCAAACCTAAAACTGATGATAAGGTAACCACTTTATAGCCACCCTTAAACTTGTTGTCACTCATACTGAATTACATCCACTCTCACTTCTTTCCTAATTTTGCAAGCCCAAAACTGACACAAAAGCTGAAGAAAACATCTCACATGATAAATCTTCAATTGTTGTCCTGCCTGATACTGCTGAAAATATGGTACTACTACATCTCTTTCCTTTCATCTCATTCATTAAGACTTAACCGCCACTTCTTTTACAAGGGAAAGGGACTACCAGAAACTGCTGAAGAAGCCAAACAAGCAACCCCATCCTTCCCTACATATACCCCAGCCAAAAAAAGGTGCTTTGATCACTCCTAGGTGCATTCCAATAATAAAGATTTCTTCCATTGTAACTAATACATCGTTTCAATAAACAGAGGAAGGCCTACACCTACAGCAACACCTCCGGTTGCTAAGAAATTGTTCAAGGATGGTGCCAAGCAAAAAGGCAATGACAGGTTACTCCTCAAACACAAACTCACCTATCTACACATAACAAATTAGCAATTTAAAGGCATTCCTAATCTCACAGCTCTTAATTCATCTACACAATGAATGAGTTGTCGACGTGCAATCCATCTCAAGACTTTTGCTTATATATATGTACAAAGCTATGTCCCAGCTAGAAGACAGATGGCAGTTGTGAAATTACCCAGGACTAAAGAACCAAGATCTTTTGTTCATGGCTTTTTGTCATGATTATCATTGTATATAAGTGTTGCCTTATCTACCTTCCTTAGCATTGTATGATCTAAGATGCTACTGCATCTGCTACCAATGCTGTAGAACATAGTATGTATATGCATGCAGTCTAGCTGAATGACATGCCTTTATACTATCTAAGTAGTTCGAGTAAAATGCCTGCCGTTACAGTAATAAGCTATCCATCTTGATACCCTTATTCACAAATGCTTACAATTCAATGCTTCAAACTAATTCATTCTTTTTCACCACCTAAAACAGGAAAAAAACACAGCCAATTTTCCAAAAAAGGAAAAGCACAGCTAATTTCCCAAAAAAGAACAAACGCAAAGCGCGCTCCCGCTCTAGTTATTTTATAAGAGAACTACACAACGGTGTATACCGTTGGTCCATCAGAACACTTCAAATGATAACATCATATGCTAACGTAAACACGATAACTTGATACCAAATCTAGGCTAGTATTAGGGGTAGGGTAGAGTATAGATACTATACTTACGTCAGAACGACACCATAGAAAAATATATGGTACCGAGGTACTATATATGGTACCTATACACAGATAAAACTTGATAACATGTTGATGTTATGATGATGTCAATACACATTAACTATTTTATTGGAATGGTATATATTATTAATTTGCTTATATTTCAAAATCTATATCTCAACTACTTAAAAATTCGCAACTTTCTATTCGTCACATTCCGATTCATCCGTTTTTTGCGTACGTCCGTGTCGTGCGAGCGTCTTCCCCCGTCTTCCTTGTGTAGTCATTTTCCGATTCCTACTCGACGATATCATATGAGGGGACCAAAATCCACCGGATTTCGTTAGGCTTAACTAAAATTGGTTGAGGAGAAATGGAGAGGAGATCGAGGGGATTCCGTTTTCGCATCCAATTTGAAAGGAGAAGCGGTAGAGAAGCTCGATTTGAGAAGGGGATCGACTTCTACACTATGCGACAACAGAATTCGGTCTCGTCCGGAGGAAGACGACCAAGCTGGCCCAGTGAGCCCGATGTGCCAGTCAGAGAAAGGGAGGAAACCTAGGCTAGCTTGATGGGCCGAACATCTGTTGGGCCGAGGAGGAGAAGGAAGAGGTGGCCCAAATGGATGGGGAAAAGAGAGGAGGGAAGTGGGCTTGCACATGAAAAAAATTGGATCAGAAATATCCAAATCTTAGTAAGTCTATTTCGCCTTCCTTATCTTTTGCTCTTGGTCATAGGAGATGGGGAAGACAACAGGGCAGGGAACCTCACATCTTTAGCTTGAGGGATGTAGATCCTATGCAATGCTGCTGCTGCAGTAGCAGTGGTTGACATGTGGTGCCAGGCACACAATGACATGTGGGGCCGGACACACACATAGGCTTTTCCAAATCTTAGTAAGTCTATTTCGCCTTCCTTATCTTTTCGCACGACAACTGGCGGAAGAGCCGAGGCGTCGGTGACCTTGTTTTATTCCGAGCAGTGATGAGGTACAGTCCTGCCTTAACATTGGCCATTCGATTTGTTATGGACGCAGCGGATCACGCGACTACCAAAGTTGCAGTTGACGTAACGATGAGATGAGGTGCAGGTCGCTGACATGTGGGTCCACTGCCACGTCACTAGAAATCACTTTCCAAACCAACGAAGGAGAAAATTTGCACCTGTTTTTGAAGTTGGAAGGCATTATACCCGATTTTACGGTTGAGGGATGCGTTATAAATTTCACGCCATCATAAATTTTATGGTTTAGAAAAATACCATTACTATTCACCTATTTGGTACTATTCCATTATAATTTCATATGTATTGGAAATATACCACTATATACCTTTTCACAACATTTTTTGTTTTTTTAAGACCAAATTACCCTCCTCTTCTTCCTTCTTCCTTCCCCTCTCTCCTCTCTTCCTTCCAGCCGACGAACTCCTATGAGCTCATCAGCTCATGTCACAGGCTGCCGCCGGCTGTAGCGTTGGAAGAGCCGCCGCGCAGGACACCACTGCCGATTGAGCTAGAGGAGAGTGTGATAATAATCCGGCCCAGGCGGTGTTGGCCGAGGCCCAACAAATTAAAGTTGCCTGGACCCTAACAGTTCTTAGGCACACCTACTCGGGGAAAGGCCTAATCTCCCTAAAAGACTAGTCCAATAGGGGAAGGGTGGCTCTCCCTTTTAAGGTGGCTTCTTCCTCCCAAACGGCCCAATCTCCCTAAAAGACTAGTCCAATAGGGAAGGGTGGCTCTCCCTTTTAAGGTGGCTTCCTCCTCCCAAGCTAAGCAAGGTGGAATTATTCAGAGGCTCACACGGTCGCCGCCCGACTTTTGCGTCTTTGCCAACGGGTAATAGTGGAGGATGTCCTCATCATTCCCACCCCCTTAACAAGGACCCAGCTCTGATACCAGATGATAACAATCCGGTACAGGTGGGGTTGGCCGAGGCCCAACAAATTATAGTTGCCCGGACCCCAACAGTTCTTAGGCACACCCACTCGGGGAAATGCCCAATCTCCCTAAAAGACTAGTCCAATAGGGGAAGGGTGGCTCTCCCTTTTAAGGTGGCTTCCTCTTCCCAAGCTAAGAAAGATGGAATTATTCAGAGACTCACACGGTCGCCGCCCGACTTTTGTGTCTTTGCCAGCGGGTAATAGTGGAGGATGTCCTCATCAGAGTGTCACACAGTTGTGAGAGCTTGCTTGCACTCATTTAAGCTAGGATTCAGTAATGTGGGGCAGAAACGTACAAAATACGTTGGCCTATGTAGTGTGTAATTGTGTTTATGCAGAGACATACGGATATGCATTTGCTGCTTGTATTCAGGGGGGTGTTTAGATTAAGGAGTGTAATGTTTTAGCATGTCACATCGGATATTATATAGGGTGTCGTATGGGGTGTTCGAACACTAATAAAAAATTAATTACAGAATCCGTCAGTAAACAGCGAGATAAATTTATTAAGAATAATTAATCCGTCGTTAGCAAATGTTTACTATAGCACCACATTATCAAATCATGGAGCAATTAGGCTTAAAAAATTCTTCTCACAAATTAGTCGTAACCTGTACAATTAGTTATTTTTTAGCCTATATTTAATACTTTATACAGGTGTTCAAACGTTCGATGTGACAGGGTGTAAATTTTTTGTGTGGATCTAAACAGGGCCTCAGTGACTGAACCATGCCAGGTTGGTAGGAGTGTATGTGTATACAGGCTAGTTCGTATATGCTGTGTCGTATGGTAGGGCACAACACCTCAACCGGCCCACGCCTCCAACAATGTGGCAAACGCTCTTGTCGTCGACAACAGCCTTTCCAGCACACCGTCGTCGACGTGAACGGACCAACCGCTGCCGGCGGCTTCTCTGAACTTTGCCGAGACTGCAATCCTCACCGTGCAGTCCAGCGCCGTGGCCGGCTACATAATTTTGTCGGAGTTTGTCAAGCTGGAGGACGGGAGATTGGGGAAAAAGAAATTGATGAAGGTAGAAGAAAGGGACAATTTGGTCCTAAGACCTTAAAAAATGCTGTGAAAGGATATATAGTGGCATATCTCCAACACTTGTAAAATTGTAATGGCATGATTTTAAATAGATGAATAGTAATAGTATATTTCCAAACTGTGAAATTTACAGTGGTATAGATCCGATTAACCCTTTTGAATAAAGGGCAAAAGATGAGGGATGTATAATGAACTTATTTCTCAAATCTTAGGTTCCATGTTCCTATTCTCACGACGCGTGACAATATCTAACCAAAGATCCTTCAAGAAGCCGGGGGTTATGTGGCTTGTATTAATCTTCATCGCAGTTGTGGTTGGCACATCTCCCATGTTGCTTATCAAACTAGAGTAGATGACATGGTTTGGGGTGTGTCAAGCAGTAAGGCATAGAGATGACGATGACTAAATTTTCATCACCTTAGGATGTGTTTAGTTCAGCACAAAGTTTGAATTTTGGTTGAAATTGGAGATGATGTGACTGAAAAGTTGTATGTGTATGACAGGTTGATGTGATGAAAAAGACTGAAGTTTGGATCCAAACTTTAGATCTAAACACAGCCTTAATTTTCTATAAAACCAGTGAAAATGGAACAACTAAATAGTGAGAAATATGTTCCGCAAGACGTCGTAGAAATAAGATCGGGAAAGCAACAGGGACATCAACGGACATAATCTAATAAAATTTAAAAATTATCTTACCCTTGCACGTGCCATTTTTTTTAGTATTAAGAAAAAAAAGAAAACATTATCTGTTCATCGAAGACTCCTGTTCGTAGGGGGTTCGTACTCGCAAAATCCTTCGCGACCAAGGTACCTAATGTTGCTGCTACTGCCGTACCGCCATCCTGCGCTACCACCGACCACGGCGTTGTTTCAAAGCTAAACCACCCTTTCCCTCCTCCTCCTCCTCCTCCCTCCCTCCCCCGTCTTCTCCTACCATCGCCCCGAAACAAATCCCCAATCCCTCAATCGCCGCCGCGATGCCACCACTCCACCGCCGCCTCGTTCTCTGCTTCCTCATCCTCGCCGCCGCCGCCGCCGCTACCACCGCTGCCTCCATCTCCACCCCCGCCGAGCTCGCGGGTAAGTATTTACTTTCTCCCCTCCCAAACCCCACCAAACCCTAACCCTAACTGTTTTTTAACATCCTTCTCCTCGCAGTCGCGTCGCACCCTCTGTCCCCCCTCCGTCTCCCGCCGGCCGCGCCCTTCGCCGGCGGCGGGGAGGGCGGCGGCGGTGGCGGTGGCCCCTTCTGCACACGCGTGCATATCCGCGGTCGCCCGTCCCGCCTCCGCGACCCGTCGCGCTTCTTCCACGCCCTCAGGGTCCGCGCCAACGCTACCCGCCCCAGCGGACTTGAGCTCTGCTTTCACCGGTAAGTGGGAATGCGGACATAAACCCTAGCGCTTCCTTGCTATGTCTGCGCGTTTCGCCTGATTTTTCTTTTGGTTGGCCCGGCTGGTGTTTGTAGGAATGCCACAGTGGGTCCATGCAAGTGCGCGGCGTCACAGTGCCATAAGATGGCCAAGAGCGGCCTATGGGTGCAAGCCATCTCCCCGTACGACACCCGGGTCCTCGATTTCCGGATGCCATCGGACCCTTCGAGGTCTATCATAGTGTCGACGGAGGAAGGTACTGTTTTCTTTCTCCTTGTTTCAGTAGTTGTGTTCTGTTTGCTGGCATCGTTTGCGTGTATATTGATGTGGGAGTGCTTTGGGGGCTTTCTGTGGTTGTGTTTGCAGAGTTCTTGCTTCACAGGGTGGTGTTCTTGTTGCTGGGAATGGTGCTGATGGCAGTGGCGCACACTCTTAGCGAGTCTGTGGTATTCTACTATGGCGGAGCAATGACGATTGGAATTTTCCTTGTAATTCTGATTATACTCTTCCAGGTGAGTTTACCCATCTTCACTAAGTTCTATATATATGGCAATTGATATTGTTTGAAGTTTTGTATGGTGGGTGTTGCCATCATTGTAATAGTTTGGGAAGTTATATTTACATCATGCTTAGCATTGACAGTTAGAAGAATTATTGGCATAGGCGGGTGGCATATATGGAATTACCAAAGTTATTTTCTCATCTGGACAACATAATTTAAACTGTAAACTTTCTTTACTAGAGGGTTTTCTCTGTTACCTTTGTTTCAATTAGTAATATCACGTTTTGTTATCATGTTTAAACTGTAAACTCCACGCAACGACATTCCACTATTCCTATTTCATCTTATCATGTTTATCAAAGTAATCTGCATTCCCACGTTTTCTATTCTGGTGTATAATTTAAAAATATTATTCTGTTACATTTGTTTCCAGTTACCAACACTGCATTGGTGATTAATAAAGCTCTAACTGATTAGATACCTGTTATCATGCTTAGCAAGTCATATTCTGTAAAAAGGAATCAAGAATTGAGAATTTAGGTGTTTGTTATGTTTTGCTGGCAATTTTGTCTTGTATGTAAAACATGCCATTTCATTCAGTGCTTCAGCTTAATGGACACTCGCCCTCCTTTTCTGATGTGCTTATAATAAAATGTGTGTTTCCATTTTTTTTCCCTCGTGTTCTGTTAGGCGAGAAAGTCTCCTGCTTCTATATTGGAACCCTTTTCCAAATTCACTTTGGTGATCCTAAGCTTTTACCATGGAAAGGAAGGGTCGTGGGATGTAAACAAAGAAATGGGGCAAAACACTAACATAATAAGAAAGAAAATGATCGAGACAAATAACCTCATAGTGTTTGCATTTTTAACAGTTTTTTATTGATGACTTATCCTTCTCCTTTTTATCAATGAGCATAAGTTGATTCTTATGAACCAATCTGTCTAGCTTATTGAATTTTCAGTACCAAATGCTTAAACTGAGGTACGATTGTCTGTAGTCCCTCCAAGTATTTTATGTGACAACCAGTTACCTTAGGAGTGTTTTTTTAGTTCTTTTCTTAGCTTACTGTCTGATTTTTTCTATTTTTATCTTCTTTTTCAGGGAATGAAGCTTTTACCCACTGGTAGAAAGAGTTCTCTTGCAATTTTTGTGTACTCTTCACTTGTGAGTATTCATACAATTTGACTTGTTTCTGCTTTGATTGCAATGCCATATCCTTGGAACACTGATTCATGACGTTTTCTCAAAACAGGTTGGCATGACCACATATTTTTTGCACTATTTGTCGGGACTTTTACGTTCTGTGCTTGTGGAAATTGGGATTGCCGAAGACATGCATAATCCTGTATGTAAGTTCTCCTTGTAGGTTACTTATGGTTCATTTGCTACTTCTGTTTCCACCTTCAATTACATGTGCCATATGGAAGAAAGAGCTTTACCTTTTATGGAGGTACAAGTGTATAATATTTTCAACTTTGCAGTTTGCTGCTTGTGTTTTGTAAGTTCGTTTTCATAGATTACTGTGATGTATAAATTTGATAATATCTCATATTCTCTTCAAATATTTACTTATGCTTGTCTCTGCCAGTTCTTGTTGATAAATAGTCTGGTTATAATAGTCCCATAAAGAGATAGTCCATGATTTATCATTAGTATTCCCTTCAAGTTTATATGCTGCTGTCAAATTATCCCATAAATATATTGCTAATGCTTTCAAAAGCATCATTCGTTCAAGGTCCATTTTCTCTTTTCCCTGTGACATACCAACATCCAATATATGTTATTGCAGCTAGGTGTATTCCTTCTCGTAAGTGTGATCTTAGCTGGAGCCTGGTTTGGTTACTGGGGTGTCCGTAAGCTTGTGCTAACAGAAGAAGGATCTGTTGATGCTGGTGTGGCTTATTTTGTTGAGTGGGCTATCTTGATTATTTCTGCAGTTATGATCCTGCAGGTAAGTTGTTATAGTGACCTGTTATTTACTGACAATCCTAATAATTTGCTTATCTGTTAACTGACATACAAGCTTTTGCTTGTTCTTTTTTTCCGTGTAGAGTTCTTTGGACTATCTCTTTGCATTTTCAGCATTATTATTTTGCACAGCCATCAAAGCAGTTTCTAGGATTGAGGGAAAGTCAAGAGTTCTACGGTGCCTATCAAGGTAAGATGCAATATATTCGTATATCTTATTATCAGGGAAGTCACCTCATACTTTCGCATTGATCATAACCCTTGTCAATTGTCATCAAGGAGAATTTGACTTGATTGTAACTATGTAAGAGCAGGGTTCCTCATATTCTATTGTTTATGGTTGGGTTCCTAACTTTTATAGATTTAGCCAGTGCACTTTGTTATTTGTATCTGCTGATTATTCTTGGCCAGTGCACACACAGCTAAGTCCAATAGATGTTTTCTCCTATGTGTGTAGTATGTTGTGCAACATCAGAGTAATTACTTTAGATGTGAATAGAAAGTGGAACACTGACAGGAATTGGGTATGCTGGGAAATAATTCATGTCTTAGTCCTTGTATCTTTCTAAATGTATTATCTTGTAGATGTGATGGTGAATGTATGCAACTTTGTCAAAAACCTTTTGGTTACATTTATAACACTATGTTTCGTAGAGATGACGCTGAATAATGTCTTTGTGGATAATAGTTTCTCCAAATGAATGGGTCCCTTTGCCTTAAGAATGCATTTCATTTTGTTACCACCAAATCTTTTGATAACATGGTTAACACATCAATGACCTGATTGTATCTCTTGGCAGGGCATTTTCGAACATTGTTCCCACTGGCTATGAAGGTTTTGGTGAGGAGTACTCCAGCATGAATGGATCTCACCAAGATGGATTTAGCAAGCTTCATGGTGAATACATGAGGAGTACACCAAAAAGAAATTCACTTCGTACGGGTTTGTCATTTCTTTTACCTGTATGATGTCATAGTTCGGTATTATTGTTTGGTGAATGACCTAAAATCTTTTGCTTTTACAGGATCAAGGAAGACATTGTCTCAAGACCTTGCTACGGATAGCTACTATTCTACCTTCCACACTAACCCTGAGCGGAAAAAGTTTTCAGAGGAGGAATATGCAGCATTCACTAGAGAAGAGACACATAAAGCTATGAAACAACTGGTCTCATCGCCTGATTTCAACAGGTGGGCACTAGCAAACGTGGACAGGATATCTGTGACTCCTCCACAAAGAACACCCCAAAATAGCATGAGCCAGCAGCGGAAACGTTTGTTCGGACTGTTTTAAGCTGTGTGTGATATCTTCCATCTAGTAATCTGGTTTCAATTGCCAATCAATAGATTTGAGCTGTATATCAGTTTTTCTTCCTGGTAGTGGTATCTTCAGTGTGCTTGCAGCGGTAGGTATTCAATGTATATGAATTGAGTGGTAGCTAGCAGCTGTAACAATGGTGTATTTGCTTGTGGAAGCGAATCTGTAGTAGCTGTAACGATGGCGTATTTACTTTTGTGGAAGCAAATTTTGTAGGATACCCTGTTAGGTTTCTTGTTGGGTTGAAACATCTGGAGTATAGTACTAACTTCTAGGTGCTACGGTGAGTCTCAAGCTGATTATATTGTACAACCGCACTTCATCGCTGAGGCTGCTTATGTAAACCGGAGGATGCCAGCTGCCCGATACAGTTGTAGTTGTGGAGCTTCTATGATACATTCTTTTGTGAAGTTCAGGGCTGTTATGTTTTGCCACGTCAAACCTTAGATATGGTGTACAATTTTTAGTCTAACCTTTGGTTGGTTACTATGGGGTTGTTTGGTTGCATGCCACAACTTGCTATGCCTAAAGTGAGTCATGCCACAGTTTTTTAGTCATTTGTTTAGTTGATGACTCAATTATGGCTAGCCACACCTTTTCTCTATATGGCCCCACATGTCTGTATGTTTGGCTAACTTTGGCTAAATTGTGGCTAGCATGCTAGCCACACATTTTGTGGCAGCCACACCTTACCTAATATGTGATTTGGCAAAGTTAGTAAGCAACCAAACATCCCCATATTTATGTCTTGCCACACTTACATAGTTCTTGGGTCTACACCAACAATTGTGTGGTTCTATCAAAAAAAAAACAATTGTGTGGTCTGTGGTATGCCACACTTCTAGCAATGTGAGATGTGATAAATTTATGATTATCCTTAGGCTGTGTTTGATGGTGGGTGTTGGGAACCCATCTCCCATGTATGGAAAACGGAGCGGTTTATTAGCGCGTGATTAATTAAGTATTAGCTGATTTTTTTAAAAAAAGGATCAATGTGATTTTTTTAAGCAACTTTTGTATAGAAACTTTTTGTAAAAAAACGCACCGTTTAGCAGTTTGAAAAGCGTGAGCGCTGAAAACAAGAGGTGAGAGTTTTGGACAAAAAAAAAAGGGTCTCATTCTGGGGCTGCCAAATTATGAGCTCATGACTGGTTTTACATTACTTAGGGTAGCTATGGGCTTTTCTTTTAAAAGCAGAATTTCATTTTAGGGTTTATCTATTTGAGAAAACCCCCCTCCAAATCTTATAAATTTGGACCTTTGGATTGCTTTTAAGATTTGTGTGGACTCCCCTAACCCTAGCCCCTCCCTCTTATCCTTCTCCTTCCTTGCCACCACGAACATTCCCTCGCCTTCTCCCCCCCAAAAAAAAAATATATTCCCTCGCCTTCTGCTCCAATGTTGCCCAGCCTCATCAGCTAGCCGGAAAGCACGATCGGCACTGGCGAGGTCCCTCCTAGCCCGCCTCCTCCTCCTCCTCCTCCATTCTCCCCTTCCCCTGCTCTAGCTATAGTGAGGATTGTTAGTAGTAACAGACACTTATGTGTGTGTCCGGCCCCACATGTCATTGTGTGTCTGGCACCACATGTCAGCCACTGCTACTGTAGCAGCAGCAGCAGCACTGCATAGGATCTACATCCCTCAAGCTAAAGATGTGAGGTTCCCCTGCCCTGTTGTCTTCCCCATCTCCTATGGCTCCCGCCAATGGATCCGCCACCACCAATCACCTCCTCCTAACCACAAGCTTCGGTTTCCCCCTTGCCACCAATGCCGGCCCACCCTACCGCCCTCCTCTATCACTATGGCTTTGGCACCGCCGACGCCTTACCGCTCGCCCATGTCCACCGCCTCCCATAGCCATTCCCTTAAGCCCGACGATCTCCTCCCTCTCCCCCTTCCTCCACCATCCCATCCCCAAACCCAACCCAGGACCTTAAACCTTAACTCCACTGTCTTCATCGGGGGTGTCGGAGCTGGAGAAGAAGGTGTCACTGGAGAAAAAGAGCATGAATTGTGAAGCAAATCCCTCAGTGGTAATTTGTAAGATTTTAGCCTTAATAATCTATCGAATGCCATTTAGTAATTCCGTTCCTTCCGTGGTTACCTCGGAGAAGTGTACACCCTACCCTGCATGTATACACTACATGCTTATGGTCCTAGTGAAGGAAGAAGTCCATTTGGTGAAAAGCATCGATATTTCAGAGATCAAAGATAAGGTGGACTTGATGCGGGTGTGCATTTTGTTTTTCGAAACTCCGGGTACACATTTTGGTTTAAGTATTGTAGTGTTCTTTTCCTCTTTAAAATGTTGCCATTTGTACTTAATTCCTCAATATAAGGGTTATTCCTATGTAAGGCGTCTTTGGTACTTAGTCATTCGGAATCTTCAATTTGGCTTGTGCACATTTAAACTTTGCAAGAACTGTGAACATTTGAACTTTGCAACAATTTATACTCTTCCCTTTCAAGATTTATGAGCAATTTGAGAATTATACAGTGAGTCAATCAAACCAATTACATAGTAAATTTTAGGGCTTCTTTCACTTCAAGTTTTCAGTATTTATATTAGAAAGTCTAGGGTATGCTGTCTATAGTGTTTTTGAAGTTGGATTTGGTTGTATTTTATCTTTCGTTTCACTTTGTCTACTGTTAATTCGATCACAGAGGTATCAACAAAGAAAGTCTTCTCTGTTGGGTTCCGATGGTTCAGTGGACAACATGAGTTTTAGGGTCTGGATCACCGATCACCAATTTATATGATGACACCACTTTGAGGATTTGCCAGAAGAATGAAGATGATGGTCGATGCTCGTTCATATACTTTTATGTTTGGCAGAGTTTGTTAGCATTGTTGGTTGTAATCATAATTTTAATTTCCCTTTAATTTAATATAATATGCCTAGTTTCAAAAAAAAAACATAATACAGCGGACCAAAAGACATATTCTTCTTGGAAACATTGAGCCAGGCAACCGGCGACAGTGGACCTGAAGAAGGAATAATTGCGTCTGTTGGATGCAGATGGAAGATGGACTGCACTGCACTCCTGTCCGCCGCGTGATTACGCCTTGATAACCCAGTTTGGGTAAGTGTGTGCACGTTCTGCTACAATATCTTTTTTTTTTCAAGTAAGTTTATACAAACGAAAAATTATACACCAAAATTTACACACGAAAATTTATATGTATAAACTTTTCTAAGTATAGAGGTTTATGCATATTTTTCTCGGATGGTCTGAATTGTCTGAAATCTTCTCCCGAGAGACGACGGAATCCATGCAAGAGGGGAAGAGGTCACCGGATCTGCCCCTCCCGTCGCTGTCGATGGATGGATACGCGGCCCACGAGAGGGAGGCGGAGATCCGACGGGATCCAGTCGCCGGCGGTGGATCCACGTGAGCAGCAACGACGGCTTGGAGCCGGTGGTCGATCTGGTCATCGACAACTGGGGTGGAGAAGGGAGAGAGATGAAAGATTGGATCACCGCTGTCCTCTCTCTCGTGTCGCCGGAGATTGGATCGGGGAGAGTAGGGGAGAAAGGGGATTAGGTTTATGGTTTTCAGACCCCTCCCCCCTCCGGCCGGCAATTTCATCGGCGTGTAACCAATCCGAGCCGTCCATCAAATCGGACGAAACAGATCGGACGACTCGGATTGGTCCCGCGTCAGGTCGCCACCGCTGTTGGGCCACGCGGTCTTTGGGCCGCAGAAGATAACTGGGCCATGCACCCTTCGCCACGCTCAGTGCGCCCGCGTCTGGCCGTTGCCGGTAAATGGGCTGTTCGCTGTGCAATCAGCCCGCGCACTCGCGGTAAACGGGCCAGGCCGATTTTTTGGGCCGGTTAGGGAAGTAATGGGCCAAAATAAGATTTTATTTAATTCCGCCGATTTAATTCATTTAGTCATTTGTAGAATTTTCTTTGGCATTATTTTGAGCAATTTAAAATTGTTGGAAAATTATGATCGATTACTTGATCACTCAGAAAATCTATATCTATATATATACCTAATAAAAAAGCTTCCTGTTTATTTTGGTCCATTGTTTTTTTTCCATCCGGTTTATTTTGTTGTTGTTTTCATTTTCAAATCCGAACTATTTTTTGCACTGTGCGCCTCCCGCCGCCGCTCGGGTTGAATCCTAGCTCAGTGCCGCAGCCATATCGATCGTGCATTTCCTCCTCCGTTATCATTTTCTTCATGATTTTCCTTTTGATTTGGCTTTAATTCGCCAGATTTAATCTCCGTTGATAACCGATCGGTGATTTTCCCGTTCCTTTTTATCTCGAGTTTTACGCTCTGATTTTAGAAAAAAAACATAAAGAAGGGAACAAGTGGATCAAAAGCTCTCGATCAATTTTGAGATATCAAGAAAATTCGTCCGGATTTGATGGGGAAGATCTGCTCTGGCATCGTATGGGCACGATCCTATCTTCGGAGGTTGAAGACGGAGTCGGCTATGAGCTTGGGCTGTCGCTCCACTTGTGGAATGGGCCGAATGGAGGCAGACCGAGTGTAAGGAGGTAGCAGACTAGCCTAGGGCTAAAAAAGAAAGAATGAATGGGCTTTTGGTCTAAAACCAATAAAAAATTTTAATTAACTTTTTAATTATGGTGTACAGTGATCCCAATGTTAGAATTTTCATTAACCTTTTTCAATCGTAATGTATAGCGAGAGATATAACCCTATCTGACTAGGCAACCCATATTTTTTTTAAAAAAAACTACAATTATAGTAGACTTGTTAATTGCAGTTAATTTTCTAGATTTTGCTAATCCATCGAATTGATTTCTGCTAAAAAATAATTGTTAAGGTACACGTACATACTTCATAGACGAGTGATATTTTTTTTTAGTTTTTTTCAATTGTTGACATCGTAATCACCGAAACTTTCACTCTAATATTTGTTTTAGATAAAAATTTTCACGAGACATGACATATTAGGGTCTACGCGCTATATATATCATCCACGTGTCACGATTAGTCTCCACACAAGTCCACTTATGATTTTGAAAACGAGATCGCACGCTTGCAATATGAGAGTTGATAGATTGAGAAAGCACACATCACCCCTATAAGACTATGAGTAAATATTGAGTAAATATGTAAAAGTATTTTTATCCGTCCTGATTATTAAACTTACCTTATTTTAAATACATATTTTTGTTTGTTAATCACACATTTTCGTCCATCTACTCTTGCATGAAAGTGATCGAAGGCCTTCACCGTTTGTTGCTCCTATGATACAATCATTATGATACGCGTTAGGAATATAGTTCATACCATACACGGACACGTGGAATAATTGTTCAAATAAAAAGAAAACCTTTGTGATTATTTTTTGTCATACTAGACTGCTTAGAAAATCGTTCAGTTAAACTTTATCCAACACGACATTACAACGCATGGACATTTTGCTAGTATTATCAAATATATATAAAAATGTATTATGAATCCACCATCAGTCAGCAACTATCTTATTAGTGCAAGCTCATAGGTAATATTACACAAATTTTTTTCTCTGTTTTTAACACTAATTTACTCCTTAGATTTAGTATGGCATAAATAGATATTCGTTCGATTCTAGTAAGAAAAAAAGTGGGATCAGTGATATGTTATCGGGGATTATTTTTATCGGTTTTGATTATATCAGGGATTATTTATATCGGTTTTGAATTTGATGGGAAAATATATACTCCCTTCTTCCTAAATTGATCATATAAGTTTATGCACCAAGACCAAGAATAATTTAAATCACATCAATCAACATACCATGCACATATTCTCCCATAGTGCATGCATCGATTAAAACATCATACCAATTACATCTTAGCATGCACATATTCTCCCATACTGCATTACGCATTACATGTATTATGATGAATTCCATATCCATGCGGTTATATGATGATCAATTTAAGAAATTTTAAATTCTATTATATGATGATCAATTTGGGAACTATGGGCCTGTTCACTTTGATACCATTTTCAACCTTACCAAATTTTGGTAAAGTTGCCAAAAAAGTGGCTACATTTAGTTTGCTGCTAAATTTTGGTAACTATATAAGAAATCATGCCAAAATTCCAAAATTTTGGCAAGTTGCCAAAATTTTGGTAACCAATGCCAAAATCTGGTAATTTTTTTTTGTAACAAAGTAAACATGCCCTATGTTAGATATACAAATTACCATAACCCGCCCGATTTTGCCCCTACCTCCTGTTCCGACGACCGGTTCGACTTCCGCGCTCACTGGACCCAGCGCCGACGCCTCATTAAATTGGGCGCCTTTCCATTCGATCCGCCTGAGGTCCCCTATTCAAAATCCAAACCAAACAAAAAAAAAAAATCCCCTCCCCTCTCCCCTCGCACGCACGACTCAACACCAGCTTCCGCCCTAGCCTTGCTGCCTGCGTGCACGGGCTCTCGACTCGCATGGAGATGGAGGAGGCGGTAGACGGCAAGCACCCGAAGCGTGGGAGGGGCAGGCCGAGGGGACGACGGGGCAGGGGCAGGGGCAGGGGGAGGGGCGGCCGCTCCCTCGCGTCGCCGGCGGCGGGGCCCGGAGACCAAGGGCCGCGGCGGCGGCGCGGGGTCGTCCCGGCGGCGGCGGCGGCGGCGGGGGGAAGGGCGCTGAGGGAGAGGAGGCCGGCGCCTGGTGCCTACCGCGAGAGCGGAGCTGATAATGACGATGATGGCGGCGGCGACGATGAGGTGGGGGAATCATCCCCTTTTTTGTTCTTTGGCTCTTTCATTCCTCTCTCCGTTTGTTCCTTTCTTTTAATCTGTTTCTCTCTCCGTTCTCTGCATTCTGTTTTTTTTCTGCGATTGAACTGTATCTTGTGAATTTGCACGCATAATAAGTTAGATCTTTGTATGCTCCTCTACTGTTTGTTATTCCCGCTGTCGTTTTTTTTTCCTTTTGGCATCCTCCGCTTTTTTTTTCTTTTTTCTTTTTAAAAAAAATTTGGGGGAAAGCAGCAGGAGCCCGTAAAGTCGGGTACGCTCTTCGGCGCGAGACTGGGTTGGTTTGGAGTAAAAAAATCGGGTATATACTCATAAGATTTTCTGTTGATTTGAGGATGGGACTATCTATCCTACCGGTGCGCGATAAAATTATTAGGCAATTTATGTACCAAGATAATAAGGAAAGTTGCGGTTTTTGTGACAAATTGAGCATTGCTTGACTAATTAATTAATGGCTTGGCGAGCTAAATTCGTGCAATTTCTCCACGTATTTTTGTTGCACTCCAATAGTTGCGAGATCTGAAATCTTCTAATTTCATCCCGAATTCGTCGTCGTTACCATCGCTGTATCAGTGTTTCTTTTACGTTGTACCGATGTCTGGTGCGTCTTTTTTTTGGGTTGACTTGAAGCTTCAATTGACTGATTGCTATTTTGCTAATAGCACGACGAGCAGAATGATGATGGTGCTGAAAAATCGGATAATCAAGTTGTGGATTCTCTTAATGAACCCAACAGAAGTAATACAGGGAAGAAGCGGGGAAGACCAAAGAAAGTGAAAGCAGAGCAGGAGGACAGTAACCAACTCTCCAACGGGAAACACCTTGGCGAAAACAATGGGGTAATTACTCAGCCTTCAGTGTGTTCTTTGAGTGGTTTTGAGCATGTACTGGATCATGCCTGATACAAATTTTTAGTCCTGTATTAGCTATTGACAATAAATATGAGATACCTTGTCACCAGTTAAAGTCATGATGCTAGCAGAGTCAAAACTACACAACATTTAGTAATTATGATTCAGTTTTTTGTAAATCTAATTTTCATCGGTGACTAGTGAAGGTGCAGTGTTAGCAATGTTTTTCACTTCAGTGATTAGTCAACATTAGGGGTGAAAACCGTCAGGGAACCAGAATCTGTAGAGCAGAAATTAAAACGTTATCGGAACTATCAGAATATCAGAAGAGGAACTATAGGAGAGGAAACATGACGGTATTGATAGGAAACGAACAATTCATGTCGGAAACACCGAAAAATAGTATTGTAGAATGTAGATTGATGTATTCGTAGGGAGCAGCATAGTGAGGGGAAACTACACAATGCACATGTATGCCTAACGTTCCTACTATGCACAATTTCCCACTAATCTAGATGTAGCTTTGAAATTTGAACCCAGCAACCAAGGATCGATTCTCGATATTTGTACAATTTTTTTACATTTATTTGGATACTATGGGCCTTTTTTCTTGGTGGAAAGGAGAAATTTGGCCTTACAAAGCCCTCTTTGTTCTTTTCTTTGCCCTTTTGGGCATTGACATTCTTCGACGCACAAGTTCTACAGCTGCTTTTATACCATATATTTTTGAAAAATATAACTATATGAAATATGGATCTACTAATGTGATTTTAACACATGAATTGCCAATATTTTTTCAATAAGAATATATCTTTTGATATACTGGTGACTTCAGATTTTGATGTTTGACCACACATTCTAAAGCGTCTTATCTATTCGAGAATGAAGTGAGTATATTTTATTGAGTTAAGCTTTCGATATCTTGCTATTTGGGATTGGAGGGAGTATGTTTTGCTATGTTGAAATTTTATTGCCATGTGTATTCGCTTTGGTTGTTTTGAAAGGAACTTTTTTAAAAGACACCCATTCTATTTTTGAGTCTCATAATATGGATATGTGAAATGCATATATTATATGGCCTTGGACCCAAAGAGTGGCCATGTTGACAATTGGTGGTTGCACAATGGCATGGATAGAGGAAACTATAAGCTCTTGTTATATTATTCTGCTTGTTGTGATTAATAATTGTTGTTTAAGCATATCAACCATCATAATCGAGGCCCATTTAGCCCTTTGCTGATAAGGGTCTACTTAGTATATATTGTTATGCCCTCCATCCCAAAGTATAGCTACCTTTGTTACTCAATATATTATTGAATTAGAAAGGTAGCTATATTTTAGGAAGGGAAAAGTCCAATTTGCACCCTCGAACTCTTATGTTTGTCCAAAATACACCCCATAACTACAAAACCGGGTATAATACACCCTTTAACTATCAATACCAGATATTTTACCCCCCTAAGCGGTATTACACTAGTTTTGATACAGTTGAACACTACATCAGCATGGAGTCCCACCAGTCAGTCCATATATTCTTCTTCTTCTCCCTTCCTCTTTGGATAATCTCGCTGAGAGGCGAAAGCAACCGGCAAGCTCCCTCTCTTCGTCCTAGGCCTTCCTCCCTCCACTCCTGCCAAGTTCTCTCCCACTATAGATCGGCCATCCTCCACGGCATTTGGTGGCACAGAACTGGCATAACCATTGTAGGTGTTGCGGTCGACAAGCTGACGGCGTAGGCTAGGCCCGAGCGGCGTTGGCATTGAGGGTGCTTGCATCGGCATCGATGTCCATACCGACGTGCGAGGCGCATGCGGAAGCGCGGTGGAGAAGCTGAGGCGAGTGACGGCGTTGGATTTGACGGGTCGAGCGGCCGCGCAATATCTGGGGGCTACGGTCGCCGGTCGGCCCTCCTCCCTTTTTCTCATGGCCCGTCGGCATCTCCGCCAATGACAATGCCGAAAGCCCCGTGCTCCGCCGCCGACGCCGCCAGTCGAGGGGCGACAGAGCTTGACTTAGGCGGCGAGAAGGGAGCTTGAGTTCGACCTCACCTGTTGACCTCGGGGAGCTCGGGGAGGCCACTGGTGTTGCGGTTGAGCTGAGGCCCGTGTTAATGTCTCTCTCCTTGGGGAGCTCGGGAAGGCCGCCACCGCCGCTCTCCTCGCGGATCGAGCTCAGGTGTGGAGGATGGAAGAAGGATGGAGAGAGAAAAGGAGAGAAAGGGGATAAGAGATGGAGGTAGAAGAATAGGTTAATAGGCTCTGACATGTGAACCTGTATTTTTTTTTTGTATTTTTTTGTTTGTTGACTAGACCACCACATCAGCGCCACGTAGCCAAAACATATTGGAAGCTCGGGGGTGTTAAATATCTGGTTTTGAATTTTGAGGGTGTGTTTTACACAAAGTGAATAGTTCAGGGGTGTAAAATGGACTTATCTCTTTTAGGAATTAGGATAGAGGGAGTATATCACAAATTTAATGGTTATTTGGGGCCTGTTTGGCACTGCTCCAGCTCCAGCTCCACCCCTCTTGGAGCTGGAGCTCAGCCAAACAGTTTCAGCTCCACCAAAACTGGGAGTGGAGCTGGGTGGAGCTCTCTCACAAAATGAACTAGAGTTGTGGAGTTGGGTTTAGGCAGCTCCACAACTCCACTTCAGACTCAACTCCTAGAGTTAAATTTAGGAGTTGGAGCTGTACCAAACAGGCCTTTGGTCAAATCTCTTGTAAGTTGTAGTTAAGGTAGCAATATTGTTACATGGATTTTCTCGCATCCTCTATCTAACTTTGTTGCACATTCGTTGGCCATCGCGTGCTTGCTGGCTTAGTTGCGGCCGGAGCCCGTTGCCCTCGTCATGGCTGTTGTTTGTCATAGATGGTTGTGGCCTCTTCATCGTGGATGTTTGTCGCTTCTCCCTCATGGCTGTCGCATGTAATTGTTCCTTGATGTCTTTGTTCATCATGTAGTCATGGCTGTCGCCTTCTTTGTTGCGCTTGCCATCTATTGTGGCTATCGTACACCTTTTGCTCATCAAGACTGTTGTCACCTGGGGGGTTCGTGTATATTTGCATCTACATTGTTGTTGAGGCTCTACCTCTATCGAGTCTAGCTTTCATTATAAGAGGTGCAAACTTGGAAAACACTTGCAACTTCCATATATCCATCTAATGTTTCCTATTCTATTAGACCTAATCTTATACATTCAAATGTATGGGTCTTGTACCTTCTTGCAAAGGGTGGTCTTAAATATTATGTCATTTCTATCAATGAAAATTCTCGCTATATTTTAATAGAGTTTACTACACCGTAATACTTTTTTGGTCCTATTCTAGTGGTCATTATTTATTTCTTGTCTTCTGTCAGTTTTTGGCCACTAAAGGTACTCTTGGTGCTCATGCTGCGGAACGCCATCATCGTCATCTCATGGAGATTGCTCGAACACTTCGGATTTCCTCTTTTGTTCCTTCTCATTTCTAGGTGAAGTTGTTCCTATTACAGTTTATCTTATTAGTAGACAATCATCCTCCAAATTGTCTGTCCAATTTTGGTGTATCTTTGGGTTTTTGGATGCACATGTTTGTTCTCCTTGCACCATATGAGCGGACTAAGTTGGCCTTCCAATTAGTTGAATATGTTTCCTTGGGTATCGTCCTCTCGTTGCATACTTGCTTATTCATCCATTCTTTTATAATCCCTCCACTCAAACCTCATAGACCCTAACAGAGTTTGTACCTTCCTCCTATTTCATCTAGTGATGATGTCTCTACAACCCTTAATCCTGGTACTTCTATTTCCATCACACCCACTTCTTCTGAGCACCCTCTACCCACTTCCGCTCCACCACCACCATCTCATACACCTTTTAGTACAATTATACACTCATTATGCAACACCTCCCACAACACCTGCCTAGTCCTAATGCTCCTATTTTTGATGATTCCAACAATATTGATGGGTCACAAGGTCACGTGCAAGAATATTTCGGGGCAAAAGGAGATAGATTAGATTACAGGAGGAGGAAGTAACAGGAATGGCTCTGGACCTCAACGATGCGACGGAGCAAGATCATGTCATGCTGAGAAGGCAGGTTGGTGGGGGCACTAAGATAAATCTTAATATAATGTCTTTCTAACTCAGGTTAGTTTCTCTTCTAACTTGCTCTATCTTAACAGACTTTATCCATTGACCTACGTATGTCGTGCAGGGGTTTGGGCCCAAGACTCCCATCCCAATGTCCATCACATTGCTCCCTTCTTTTTTAGTAGCTCGTCCTCGAGCTGTAGCACACCCTTCTAGACTCAAACGACAGACTCTTTTTACATCTCGACTTGTTATATAGATTATTTTTAAAGAAACCTAAGATTATTGCGGACAATGTCACCACATTAAGGCCATGTTTGGTTTGGTGGGGATTAAAGGGGATTCGACGGAATTGAGGATGGATAATTCCACACCACAATAGGTGTACAATAAATCCCCTCCAATCCCCTTCCTTAGGCCTTGTTCGGTTAATCCCCATGAGGGAGGGATTGGAGGGGATTTATTCCACACCTACTGTGGTGTGGAATTATTCCTTCTCAATCCCCTCTAATCCTCTTCAATCCCCTCTAATCCTCTTCAATCCCCTCCAAACCGAATAAGGCCCTAATGGGATTAAGCGATTATGATCTAATGGGGGTGGCGGTACCAGGGACGGGTGTTGGTGGACCCCATCCTGAAGCCCTTAAAGAAAGGTAAGTTGTACCCAATATCCAGAGCTTTACATGTTGTTGCTTGCTGTAGTATGCCAAACCCACGGAAGTAGATCCTGGTCTTGAAGCTTATCGAAAACAAATATACCAAATTGGCCCATTTGGATGACCTAGCTGAGGGAAAAGAGATCTTATCTCCTCGTGTAGATGGCGCCACCCCAAACAACTTGCATTGTCTGCGAGAAGCATGGTAAAAGAATAGGACTAGCCATTGAACCGCTCGTGGTCCGGTTCATCGGCTCACCGGTTGGATAGACTGGGTTGATTGCTGAACTGGCCAAAGCTATTTAGCATACAACATGATTTTAAACAATGTGGCCACCCTACCAACCTATGTTTGACTCCCTACCGCTCCATCTTTTTTCCTCATTTTCTTTAATAAATCAAATTGGGCCTTAAGATGCAGGGTGGTCCTTCCTAGGTGGGCCCATCTGTTGGCTGAACCGCTGGTTCATAATACCCCAGTTCAGCCATTTTCCTCAAAATCTACCTAGTTCACCTGGATCATGCTAGTCAAATTGCATTGGTGGTCCTCGAAGCAAACTAACACGGTGAATAGGGGTAGGCAGAATAGGACCAAACCGAAAACACCGATACCGAGAAATTCTGTTAGTAGTTCGGTCTCAACTGTCGAAAGACCGATTTTTTTTCAGGCAATTCGGTCATTGGCTTCAGTTAACCGAGAAAACCGATTTGTGGCTCAATAGGCCTAGGAGGCCCAATAAGCCTAGTGAAACACAAAACCCTAGAGGGCAGCACCAGCAGGGAGTAAGTCAGCCACTCCCACTCAGCCTCACCAGCGCTGCCTCCAATCCATCTCTACCCTATCCGTCGAGCGCCATCGCGCGGTCACGCCTCCGCCTCCGCCTCCATCGACCATCCCGCCACCTCCGCCCTTCACCTCCATCGCGCCGCGGGCATCCATCGCGCCGCCTCCTCGTCTCCACTCCACTCCACTCTCAAGCTACCCCGCCTCCAGCTCGGTGCCTCCATCCTGCCGGCCGCATCCGTCTGCATCGGGGAGGCAGCAAGCCAACGGCTGTGAATCCGTTACGATGGCTACATCTGTTGATTCTTGCGATGTAAGTATTATGATTATTTTTTGATCTACTCCTTTGATTTGAATCCAGTGCATAATAATGACTTTTATTTGCAAGTAATGTACTCATCAACCTTGAACTTTTATTTGTGACTTGTGAGTTGTACTGTGACTGTGAAGTTTAGACTTGAGACCTATGCTATTTAATCTTCCTATCTTGTGATATATTATTTGGTGTATGATGTTGCCTATTATCTTGTATTTTTGTGATATATAACTATGAAAAAATGCCTGAAAAGAGGGGAAGTGCTGTCAAATTTTTTCATTCCAAACTTATCTCCTGAAACTGTCCAAATTCAGTCAGACCAAGACCGAGACCGAATTTGCTGGCCCCGAGTTTTTTTGGGGTGAAATTCGGTCCTGAGTTTTCAAAGACCAAAATGACCGAAAGACTGAAGACCGAGACCGAATTTTTCGGTCAGACCGAATGCCCACCCCTACTAGTGAGTGCTGGTTTCTATTTTTTTTGGTTTGACATGGTTCGGTTTTTTGTACCATGGTGAGAAGAGAAACTGGTCCTCACCAGAAAATCGCCCCAAAATCTCATTCAAAGACCTTGCCCACCTGCGGCGCTTGCAGTTTGTGTCGTGCGCATGTCGCTTGGAGGCCCCATTGCGCAAGCCATGCTCGATGTACTTTGCTTCACCTATATGTGGATGATATGTTGATTAGGGGGGATGGCGTTGGCCACATTTCCATGTGGAAAAGCACCTTGAGCAATTTCAGAAGACTGATTTTAGGCCTTAGTTCTTTCTTAGGAATTGAGGTTTTGCATTCTCTACAACCACCCCTATGGATCTTCACTTGTAGCTACGACCCTTATGGATCTTCACTTCTAGCTAGGGATGAAAACAACTTGGGAATGGACGGAAACTAGCTATACCTTTTCCACTTTCATATTTTTTTCAGTATTGGAATTGAAATCGAAACCCCAAATACAAAATCGGGATAGAACATTATTGAATATGAAAACAAAGCGAATACCAACCAGAGCGATTACGGTAACAAATATTTGTAGGAATATGAAAACAACTCCAAATGAGCTTCTCATATTAATGAAGAGATGTAGTTCAATATTTTTGAAAACAGTAAATTGACATTTCTATTTTTTATCAATTAATAATAATACAATTAATTGCACACTTCACTTTTCATGAGAATTATAATATTTAAGAACTATATTCATCTATATGTAAGTAGTATGGAAAAATTGATATAAAGCAGCAGACTAGAAAAAAAATCTCCATTCAACTAATTACCTCAATACTCGGTACAATTCTAAACATCTAGAGTAGAGAAGGCTAAAGCTAATCTGCTGTATGGGAAAAGTAATTTGTTTCCGATGCTGAGAAAGAAGTCCGAAAACATTCTCCGACTGATTCCTGTTTCCGACGGATAGTGGCCTTACCGAATTCGTTTCCGTCTCTGAGAAAAAAAATTCCTAATTTGTTTCCGAATCTGAAACATTTTGAAAAAAATCCAACCGACTTTTTGTTTCTGAAAACACATCCGAAAACTGGATACTTTCTGAACCGTTTTCATCCCTTCTTGTAGCTGCATTCTACTGATGGTACACCTATTGAGGATCCCTCTTGATATCACCACATTGTGGGTAGTCTTGTTTATCTCACTGTCACTAGACCTGATATTGCTAATGCTGTTCATATTTTTGGTCAGTTTATGAGTACTACTACTTTGTCCATTCTGGTCATTTGTTTCGTGTGCTGACATCCTTATGCTCTGTTAGGGAGAGCATTTTAGTTGGGCCAATATGCCGCACACAAAACGAGATGGGTAATCAGTGTGTGATTAATTAGGTATTAACTGTTATAAATTTGGAAAATGGATTTATTTGATTTTTCAAGAACTTGTAAATAGAAATTTAGTCCACATTATTTAGTAGTTTGGAAAGTGTGCTCATAGAAAACAAGGATGTTGTCGATCCAAGTAGCTGTTTAGAACTCAGCCTGGTTATTCCACTCTTCTCTTGCATCGAAGTCCAAGCAGTAGGCAGCTGTATCTCGGTCTAGTGCAAAGTTAAAACTCCAAGCACTTGCCACTACTACAACAGATATTATGTCTTCGATGGCGTGCATGGATAGAGGTGAACATCTATAGATTCAACTAGCAATAGTTCAACTCAACTAACACTAAAAAATTGGAGACACAGTACTGCAGGATGTCCCTATTGGGCACAGCTGTTGCTTGTTGCTATCATTGTCACATCCACTGTTGTCACTACTCCCTACCACTGTTGCTTGTTGTGACATCCACTGCTGTCACTACTATTTTAGAGAGGGGAAGGAGGTTTCTAGGGTTTATGGTTTGAAAGAAAGTAGATTGGAGAAATGGGCCTAGTTGGCTGGGCAGGCCATTTCTCCTTTATTGTTGTAGCATGGCAGAACACATTCAGTCTTTGATTAATCTGAATTAATTCCTGCACCTGAGAAAGGGCAAAGTACTTTGAATCCTGCTTTCCTTGCCAGGAAGAATACTCTGCCAATGAGTTGGTCTGCTGACCAAGTGAGCATTTCCCAATTTTTTAGATCTTGAATATTAGTTGGCTCGTTGGTGCTCTGATGTCTTGTCTGGCTTTGATAAGCAGTAGTTTTAGCTCCAATATTTTTTTCCCCGGAATTGTAACTGTGCTTCTATTCTGAGTCCTGTGCTGTAAACCTTACATCATTGGTATGTGTAAAACCTTTAATAGGATGCTTTGTAACCTCTGGGAGGTGTATACTTTAGCTCAGAGAAATCGAAAATTTAATGAACTTCTGGTGAGTGTTGGTCGCTAGGTATTGCTAATAAAAATCTGCCTCCTAAGTCTTAACCATATTTTTCAGTACTTACAATTTCTTTCCTTGACAGAATGATGAAGCGATAATGATGAAGCCTTCAAAAGAATCGAAGAAAAGAGGTGCAGGAAAGAAACAAGAGGAAGAAGAGAATAATACCATATCCATTGAGGATGAAATGTGTGATGCGAACAATAAGGTAATGCTCAGATTTCATTATATGTTCTGTATGGAAACTCCACAGTTTTTTTATGAGTGCATTGAAAATTATTGTGTGGTTTTGATCATATAGAAGGGGAAGAAGATGCTCACTGGGGAAAATGCTTTGATGTGCCACCAGTGTCAAAGAAATGACAAAGGGAGGGTGATTTGGTGTAAATCATGCAACAATAAGCGCTTCTGTGAGCCATGCATGAAACGATGGTATGCCAAGTTGTCTCAATCTTGTCATCTACTAATTGGACTACCCATATCCATTGTATCATGCCACTGTTCAGAAATGTTATTATAGTTTTATACTTCAATTATTTTCTTTTGATGACTGTGCTACTCCAATTTTGATGTTCCTTTTAATACCTTTTTTGTTGGCCATTGATCTATGGCTGTAATACATTGATCTTGTGCATTGCACTACACTAAAACTTTTTTGATAAATAGGTACCCAGGTTTGTCAGAAGTTGATTTTGCTGCAAAATGCCCATATTGTAGAAAGAACTGTAATTGCAAGGCATGCCTAAGAATGATAGGAGTTGAAAAGGTATGTACTTGGTATCCCTCCCTAGTGTTTCCATATTTTCTACAGATTTGTTTGTGCTCAAAAGATTGCTTTACAGTCTGGCATTAATAACTTGCCCTGTCATATTGAATCAGCCCCCTGAAAAGAAGATTTCTGAGGAAAATCAACGACGTTATGCTTTTCGTATTGTAGACTTGTTGCTTCCTTGGTTGAAAGAACTTCAACAGGAGCAGATGAAGGAGAAGGAATTAGAGGGTAGATTACAAGGTATGCTGTTCTGGTGTTCCTTCATGCATTCAGGTATTGGAGGATTTTCTAACTGCCTATTTACATTTTTATTTGCAGGTGTTTCTATGGATGAAGTAAAGTTGGAACAAGCTGATTGTGATATGGATGAGCGTGTTTATTGGTTAAACATTTTCCCTGTTTACATTTTGCCATAAATATTGTGGCACTGAGCATTTGATCAGCCTTTTTATTCTTTTATTGTAGTGATAGGTGCAAAACTTCGATAGTTGATTTTCATAGAAGCTGCAAGGCTTGTTCGTATGACTTGTGCCTTGCATGCTGCTGGGAGCTTCGCAAAGGTGAGATTCCAGGAGGAGAAGAGGCAAAGAGTGTGCAGTGGGAAGAGAGAGGTCAGAAGTATGTTTTTGGTAATATTTCCAAGGATGAGAAGAAAAGGGTATCTTCGAAGAGGCACATGGAGACCCCCAGTACTGAAACTTGCAATGACATGGCTGTTGCTGGGGACCCAAATAACCCTTTGTTACTGTGGAAAGCTAATAGTGATGGCAGTATACCTTGTCCACCAAAGGAAATAGGGGGCTGCGGTGCTTCATCTTTGGTACTCAGATGCTTATTACCAGAAATTATGCTTTCTGAGTTAGAACACAGGGCTAACAAAGTTATTAAGAGAGAAGCATTTGATAAAGCAATAAACGAAACAAGTGATCAGTGCCCTTGCTTTTATCACACAAGCAAGATAAGAACAAATGCTACTCGAGAGGCAGCAAACAGAAAGGGCTCAAGTGATAACTACTTGTACTGTCCAGATGCCAATAATATCCAGGAGGATGACCTGTCGCACTTTCAGATGCATTGGTCAAAAGGTGAACCGGTTATTGTTTCTGATGCTCTTCGGTTAACATCTGGTCTGAGCTGGGAGCCATTGGTTATGTGGCGGGCATTGCGAGAGAAGAAAACCAATGGTGATGTTGAAGATGAGCACTTTGCTGTTAAGGCAGTGGATTGCCTTGATTGGAATGAGGTTTGGAACTCTTAATTTCCTTGTTGCTGAGTGTTCCGTCTTGATTTTATAGGCCGTACAACTTTGACTATCCTTTTAGAATAACATTATCCCTAATATAGAACATTACTATATTTTTCTTAGGCATAGAAGTGGACGGTCCTTCCTTACTTGTACTATTTTTCTTAGGCATAGAAGTGGTTGGTTCTTCCTGTGTTTTATGTGAGTTGGCAGCACTGTGTCTTCTTATCCCCTCTGTTCTATTCTTGCGAGCCTTATTGTTTACAGTTGGTTTAGACAAATAAGATTTGGCAGCTCCTGCCCTGATATCTGGTTTCTGTTTATGGAAACTTTGTTAATTTATCTATGGATAACTTGAAACTTCAATTTTAAAAATATGATATCCGTGCCTGTTTTTATTTAGACAGACCTTTGTTTGATACTGCAGGTGGAAATTAACATACACATGTTCTTTATGGGGTATATGAGAGGTAGAAGACATCCGATGACCTTTTGGCCTGAGATGCTTAAGCTAAAAGATTGGCCACCATCTAGTATGTTTGACCAGAGGTTACCTCGCCATGGTGCTGAGTTTATAACTGCATTGCCATTTCCCGAGTATACTGATCCACGATATGGCCCGCTAAATCTTGCTGTCAGGCTTCCTGCTGGTGTACTGAAGCCTGATCTTGGGCCAAAAACTTATATTGCTTATGGATGTTATGAAGAGTTAGGCAGGGGTGACTCTGTGACCAAGCTTCATTGCGACATGTCTGATGCGGTATGTTATTCTATAATTGGCATGATGATATTTTTTTCCCCAGATTGTTATAGCTTTTACATCCTGTCCAGAATAAAAATTGCATTGCCAGGCCTGCTTACCATAAATTATTTGTTCTTCCCCATTATATATTGATTGGGTTTCACTGGCTTCTCATGGTATAAAGGTTAATTACAAAAGGTGTTTGGTTTGACCAGGTAAATATCTTGATGCACACAGCTGAAGTGTCCTATGACACTGAACAGCTTGACAAGATAGCAAAAATTAAAATGAAAATGAGAGAACAAGATCTTCATGAACTGTTTGGGGTTTCAGAATCAGGCGCCAAGGGTAAAGCTGATGATGAAGCATCGAAAATCTCATGTAACATGGAAAACAAACACACCTCTAACCAAAGTACTAAGGGTAAATAATAAAACTTTACTTGTTAAAATCAAGAGCTGGCAAGAAATTGAATTGTTTGTCTGGTTATGGTTTACTAATTTCTTTTCTGAGTCATGCAGGTTTGGACATTAATGCTTTACCACCTGATGATTCTGGAAGTGATATTGGGGATAAACCATCATTTTGTCAATCTGAGGTAGAAAGTGAATTAACACAATGTTCAAAACACAATCACGAGGTTAATAGTTCTGTCAAGATGCATGCTGGAGCTCATTGTACTTCAGACAACCAAGGATACATTGACAGGAGTGGATTCAAACGCAAAGATTCAGACTGTTCAGACCAACAGAAAACTGGTGGCGCTTTGTGGGATATTTTCCGAAGAGAAGATTCTGAGAAGTTACAAGATTATCTTCGGAAGCATGCCTCAGAATTTCGGCACATACACTGCAATCCAGTGAAAAATGTACCCTTTTTTTTGTCCAATCACATTATATAGGAATCCTATATGTTTTATTTTCTTATTCTGAGCAATAGCTCTGTACAATGTGCAGGTTTCTCACCCAATTCATGACCAGACTTTCTATTTAACTGTGGAGCATAAGAGAAAGCTCAAGGAAGAACACGGTTAGATAACATTCTATTTTGAAGCTGTCATCTCTCTTCCAAAGCTGTTTATAACACTGATATAATGTTGTTTTTCTTGTCTGTTGGCATGCATAATTTTAGGTGTTGAACCATGGACATTCGAGCAGAAGCTAGGCGATGCAGTTTTCATTCCTGCTGGATGTCCACACCAAGTGAGAAATTTAAAGGTGCAGCTGAATACTTCCCTCTGTCTCCCCCATCCTGTGGTATTTGTTGAAAATATAAAGTTTTGGTGGTATTTATTGATACCACTTTTCCCATTAAATATTTATGAATGCGGCATCAAGAATCTGGGCTCAGAACCAGAAAACTAAGACCCATTCTGATTTGTGCAGTCTTGCATCAAGGTTGCTCTAGACTTTGTTTCCCCTGAAAATGTTGGTGAGTGTGTTAAGCTGACCGGAGAGTTTAGACGTCTTCCATCTGATCACAGGGCTAAAGAAGATAAACTAGAGGTTAGAGCGCATGTATTCAGCTATCTGGTTTGCTCATGCGGTGTAATGTTCTGTGATAACTACCCTTATGCTGATTGTGTTTTTTTAACAAATTGTAGATTAAGAAGATTGCTCTCAATGCTCTTAAAGAAGTCGTAAATTTCTTAGATCCTTTACCAAAAGGGTAAGAAAGACTAACAGATGATCTTGTTTTTTTGAAGTTTGTGGATTTAGCATTAGCTAAAGTATTTGGGCTACTGTTTTGTGTGATTGATCAGGTCAAAGAACAGGGATGAAGTGGTAGAAGTGACCAAACCAAAAAGGAAATACGGTAACCGAAGAGGTGACCTGAAGAGTGGGGAAGACCAACCCATTGATGAATCCATAGAAGAAAGGAAGCCTAAAAAGCGAGGGAGATCTAAACGGTGATCTGAAGATTGAAGATCCTGTCCAACAATGAACCAGTAGATGACTAGATGAGAAGCCTAAAAAACAATTAATGCTCTTTTGATTATTCAGAGGCCCAAATGATTGGGCTGATATCGCTCTGGGATAGACTTAAGTTTCGACAGTTCAAGAATCACCTCAGACATCACCATGGTGTCGATTTTGTTCATATGTGGGGTGATTGCCTTCACTAAAATGATGTGATTGTTTGTTGCTGATAGTGGCAATTGACTTGGAATAGCTTTGATGAAGTTATGGCTCATTCTGATGCTTGTTAATTTTGAACTGCCAGTGATTTTGAAATAGTTATACCTTCTTGGTCGGTCTGTTGTACCGTGGCATGAATGTATTCACTAGATCAGCGTGCCATAGCTCAAACCGAAGTCATATTTTGTCGGTTTAATCGACGCGCTATAACTCAAAAGTTGCTCGAAATTGTATTTCTGTGTACTTTTACATCACTCAACTGTATATTTTGGTCCGTTTGTCTCAACATCTAATACGAGTATAGGCGTAGCAAGATAAATAACACGAGTAACTGTTAAACTATGCTGACACTTTATTCACCTAAATTAACCGGCCAACATAGGTAAAATAAAATCTGGACGAACCGAGACCTAGGTTGTGAAACAACTGGGCAACATATCCTATGCACATAGGCCCTCACGTGTACACACGTGCACACCAATTAAAAAATGTCACCAAAAAATCTAGAAAAAATCATACACATACTTTCAATTGTATTACACCTAGGGTTAAAATGTTAACGTCAAATTCATTATATTTTAGCCGTAACAAAAAAACAAAAAATCTGACAGTTTTAAGGTTGCAATTTTGTCAAAATTTTATCTTTTTTGTTATTCTCTATGTAGAATGAATTTGAAGATACGACTTTGCACGTAGATGTAATACGACATGTATGAGTTTTCCTATAATTTTTTGTGATAATTTTTAGTTGGTGTACACGGTGTGTACACGCAAGGGCCTGTGTGCATAGGATACGCTCCCAAACAACTGGCAACATATCCTATGTACATAGGCCCTCACGTGTACACACGTGCACACCAACTAAAAAATATCACAAAAAAATCTAGAAAAAATCATACACATACTTTCAATTGTATTACACCTAGGGTTAAAATCTTAACGTCAAATTCATTATATTTTAGCCGTAACAAAAAAAAACAAAAAATCTGACAGTTTTAAGGTTGCAATTTTATCAGAATTTTATCTTTTTTGTTATTCTCTATGTAGAATGAATTCGAAGATGCGACTTTGCACGTAGATGTAATACTATTGAAAGTACATGAATGAATTTTCCTAGAATTTTTTGTGATAATTTTTAGTTGGTGTACACGGTGTGTACACCAACTAAGAAATGTCACCAAAAAATCTAGAAAAAATCATACACATACTTTCAATTGTATTACACCTATGTTAAAATCTTAATGTCAAATTCACCTTACTTCGCTAGCCTTTGTGCAACCATGTGAGTCGAACGACGAACCTATACTAACTTCATAGCCTGCCAAAAAAAAAAAAACTCAAGCTAGATTTCAAATCTTGGATTTCCATGGCCGGCTAATTCCTTTTAACACCCACCACCTTTACCACCTCTATAAAATCTATTTCAACCATGACCTTCCATCGTAGCATTGCCAAATATAAGAATAATGCTGAGAGAATTGCCATGAACACACCTCTGTCATTTCTCATCACCGCACCAACACCATCTCTCTTCTCCTGTTAGAAAACCTCCATTTGCATTTATTTTGACACAGCCACTCGAAGGCTTCTTCCGTTAATGTAAATTGACCCATTCCACCGGCTTTTGCTAATTGGCGCGCGCGCCGGATCCGTATCTGGCGCGCGCACCCTCCACACGCCGCCTTTTAGCGAATATTTTCCATGCGTTTTTCCTTGTTTTCACGATTTTTTTCTTTTCTTTTTGCTCTTTTTTCTGATTATTCTTTTAAAAATTTTCAGCACAAGTGCTTTCAAATTTTTTGTGTTATAAGTTTTTAAATCATGACTTGAAAATTTTTAAATCTTAATTTAAAAAAAATTTAAATTTGGAATTGAAAGTTTTCAAACCTCGAGTTAAAAGTTTTTAAATCTGGGTTGAAAGTTTTCAAAGTTGAGTTGAAAGTTTTTGAAATTTGAGATGAAAGTTTTCAAATTTGAGTTGAAAGTTTTCAAAATTGAGTTGAAAGTTTTCAAATTTAAGATGAAAAGTTGAAAGTTTTCAAAATTTGACTTAAAAATTTAAAATTTCGAGTTGAAAGTTTTCAAATCTGGTTTAAAATTTTGAAAATTTGACTTCAGATATAGATTTTCTTTTCAATTTGTTAGTTAAAATAAATCTCGCAGAAAAAGAAAACCTTATCTACTACCGTCATTATCTTAAACTGACGTTAGCTAAGACTAATATATTAGTTTAACTACCTAATCCCAATAGAAATGTGTGCCGGCGACGCGTATTCAAAAACTAGCGATCTCTATTCCACCCGTTGGTAGGCATTTCTTTTTTCAACATTAATGTCTCCGATTGTTGACAACTAATAACCTATACTATATTCCCTTTGTTTCCATTGTTCTTGATTATTTGTACAATGATATGGTCTTCAAATATATATAAAAATAAATATTTAATTTTATTTAAAATATTTTTTAAGACTAATCTATAATCGTTTTCTAATGTCTACAAACTAAATATTTTTGAAAGTTATTGATAGTTAATGTTATGTTAACCTTATCCACAATGTAAAGAATTTTAGGAGTTAATTATACGTGCCAAAAATGTTAGAATACTGTTGGTATTTTAATCAATACAAATTTTTTACGTTTCTAAAGGGGAACATAATTAACTACTACTTCCCTATTTAAATATGATGTTATTGACTTTATGCGAGTCTAACATTACAATTTTAGTACAACCTGTGGGGGTTCCATTGGCTTCATTTTCAATTTGGGAATCAGAACTATGATTTCTATTGAACGGACGATGATCAATTCCAAGGAATATGTTTATGGATATTCCCTTGTGGCTTATTGGAAAATATGGAACAATCACAATGGTTTGTTTCTTGAGAATGTTCATCCCTCGGGGCCTATTTAGATAATGGGATATGAGGGATTGGGATTGGAACATAAGGGTAGGATGAAATGAATCTGGAAGAATGGATGGATAGGTTGTAGGATTAAAAGTTACCCCTCGGTGAGTGGGAAATTATTTCCAGTTCACATTATCCAAATGAGGTCTCATTAGCAATGTGGGAAGACCTCCAAAGAAGATACTCCTCTGCATCTATACTGGGTAAATGGAGGCTGCACGAAAGAATTAACACAGTGGCTTTTGTTACACGATCCCTGATTCCTTTGTATTTTTCTTCGATTTATTACTGAAAATTATTACAATATGGGCCTCCCCTGCTGTTCTTTGGTCAAAACAAATTATTATTCGATTCAATTTGTCTTTGCAGGATTCATAAAACGATTGGTTTTCGTGAAACCGCTAGGTATCGGTTCCAGTCGATATCAGCCAATTTCCGTATGACATTGGCATGAGTCATTGGTTTTATTGGTTTCCGGTAAACCGGAGAGAGCGGTCACTTTAAAAACGAAAAGGCAAACTCTGTAATGTTGTCATCACTTCTATTCATGTATCTATAAATGCTCATCCATCTACCAGAGTTTGAATCACGATATTCCTACATTTAAACACAAGTTGTGTCTTAGTAGTAGGAACTGTTAGATTAATTGGGCTAGGCCCGATTTATTCTATTAAATGTCAAAGGCTCATAATAAATGTTAAGGATAATAATACCACCTCATGAATTAAACGAGAAGTATCTCAACTTAAATAGAGAGTTATTGGAGGCTCCCTGTTGACCGGTTGAGGTGGGAATCGGAAAGCCACACGCGCGTGCCGAGCCGGCGAGGCGTGTGTCGCGTCTACCCTTTTTGCAACCACGATCCCATGATCCCACGATTGCCTCCGTAACAGCGCGTGCGGCAACTCACGATTGCCTCCGTAACGGCGCGTGCGGCAACTGGCGGATATCACTCCTGCTATATAAGGAGGCCGCTAATCCGATTAGAACTCTCGCTTGCTTTCTCTCGCTGGTGTTCTTCCTCCTCCGCGCAACTGGCGGATATCACTCCTGCTATATAAGGAGGCCGCTAATCCGATTAGAACTCTCGCTTGCTTTCTCTCGCTGGTGTTCTTCCTCCTCCGCGCGCCTGTGCTGCCTCCCCGCTTAACCACGATCCCACGATTGCCTCCGTAATGGCGCGTGCACGATCCCACGATTGCCTCCGTAACGGCACTTAACCACGATCCCACGATTGCCTCTGTAATGGCGCGTGCACGATCCCACGATTGCCTCCGTAACGGCGCGTGCGGCAACTGGCGGATATCACTCCTGCTATATAAGGAGGCCGCTAATCCGATCAGAACTCTCTCGCTTGCTTTCTCTCGCTGGTGTTCTTCCTCCTCCGCGCGCCTGTGCTGCCTCTGTTCTGCCTCCCCGCTTCTGATCGCTTGCGCGCACCGGAACCACACCTTTGCCTGAGATCTGCACCGGGTAGGCGGGTGATCAGGTTTTTGGGGAGTGCTTCTGTATGACTGCTTTCGACTTCTGCTCTGTTCATTGTCGTCTCCACCATGTCTGCACTTGTAGCCGCTGCCGCCTCACCTAGAGCCGGCGCCGCTGCCACCGTCCCTGGAGATGGCATGCCGGGAGCCGGAGCCGCTGTGAACGACAACGTCAACGGAGGCAGTTCTGCCTCACAATCCAGTGGAGGGACATTCTCGGGGTATATCTTTCTCCTACTGTTAACTCATTCTTTAATACCTCTGTTTGTCCTGTTAGTCACAATTCTATTGCGTTCTTGGTATGTTCATGATGCTTATTATACTTTAAGCATGCTCCTGGTTATGTTACATTTTATCATTAGATCACCCCACATTGTTCATGTCATGATTATTGTCTTAATATTTTGGATTAAAATATGCCGATATATGACCATATTTCCAACAATCCAAAAACCTGATAGGTCATTTTCGGTAGTTGGCTTTGCTCTGAAACCACATGCATTTGATGGTTCTAACTATAAGAGGTGGAAAGCACGTGCACTATTGTGGTTGACAGCGATGCAATGCTTCTATGTTTCACGGGGTAAACGAAGTGAACCACCTCTCTCTCCTGAAGAAGAGGTTAAGTTCGAGGCTTCGGATT